TTCTTTTGTATTTGTCATGATGCCTTCTCAAGTGACAGCTCGAAAGTGTGTAAAGTGTAGGACAACACTTTGTTTTAACTTAATTGATTGATTGATTATAAGCTCTGAGCACTCCAAAGTGAAAGCACATGATTGCACAACAGTGGTTTTTGTTTTGGCTCAATGAAAACATTAATTCTTAAGGGGGCTAATAATTTTGACCCTGGTAGTTTTTGTTTTTTGTGAAATAATTTTGTTTCTGTGTGCAAAGTAAAATAATGTAAGGATCCACGATAAAACTAGGATGTTTGGAAAAGCTGTGTAAAAAAATCTGTTGAACAGCACTTAGGAAATTTTGGAAAAAAACTTCAAATTTTATAGGGGGGCTAATAATTTTGGCTACAACTGTATGGCAAAAGGCTGTGTCATTATGATAACGTTATTAATGAGTTTTGCTTGTTTAAATGACTGACAAGTAATTGCAATTGCCATTGAGATATGGCAAAAGGCTGACTATTGAATAATGGCTATGGTGTGGTATGGTATGGCTAAATGTTAGTGCCTAAATAACTCTGCCCGGGTATCCAGGGATATAGACTGGATTTATGCATTGTCTTACAACCTGCTTAAAGTGGCTCTGTGCCTGGGAACAGGTGGTGTATGGAAGAAGTGATGACTTTTACAGAGGCATTAACTCAGTATCATTGATCCAGATTAACTGAAAACAGTTTTAATCATTCAATAAACAGCCCTTACGACTTCAAGCTAGGAGTATTGTTTGTGTTAACCATGTGTACTGACAGAGAATCTTCGGCAAAGGGATACTCCCTTTGTGGTTGAACCTGGCATCCAGCGTCCTTCTGAAGCTAAGCATCCGTGTGAACACCCAGGTCCTGTTAAAGTGTCCCATGACTTCCCTGCGATGACACTCTGGAAAACAAAATGACAAAAGCCTCATCACAGAGACATAGGAAGAAATAAAAAATAAATCTTTAAAAAAGTTATCCACTTCAACTGGAGTTTTTTCCAAAGTAACATCATGGGCTCTATTTTCCTGCCTCGTCGGCAGCATGGTACAGACCTGCCTATGTGCGCACTGCTGCGCTCGTCTACCAAATGACCACTTGTGTAGCTGTGCTCCGCCTGTGCTGAAAGCTGACCTCTACCAGAGGCCTGGGAGCTTGAAGGTCCTGTGCAGTATCTTAGCTGTTCCTAGGACTGCACTCTTCTGGAGTGAGATGTCTGATGTTTGTCTATGGTTACAATGTTCTGTCGGTTGACCAGTACCATTTTGTCAGTCTGTATGTGGAAGTCCCACAGGATCTTAGCTCAGTCATTCTCCATCACCTTGGGAGGTGCTTCCCATTTTAACCTCAGGGTTTCTGGTCCATATTTTGCACAGATGTTCCTGTACACTATACCTGCTACTTGGTTATGGCGTTCCGTGTATACTTTTCCTTCCAGCATCTTACATCCTGCTGTTAGGTTTTGGACTGTTTCAGGGCCCTCTTTGCACAGCCTGCACCTGGGATCTTGCCTGGTATGGTAGATCTGGGCCTCTATTGCTGCGGTGCTCAAGGCCTGTTCTTGTGCCACCATGATTAGTACCTCTGTGCTGTCCCTCTGTCCAGCCCTCTCCAGCCATTGGTAGGATTTGCTCATATCAGCCACTTCAGCTATCTGTCGGTGGTAGGGGTTTTTCCTCCCATGATGGGTCCTCTGGTTCCTCCTTCCCTGTCAATTTTCATTGTCTGACACTCACTAAATGCTCCATCTCTTGGGGCCATCTTCCTGACATAGTCATGGAGCTCGGATATTTCATCTTGGATAGTGGTTCTTATGCTCACTAACCCTCTGCCTCCTTCTTTGTGCTTAGTGTATAGCTTCAAGATACTGGACTTGGGGTGGAACCCCCTGTGCATGGTGAGCAACTTCCGAGTTTTAACATCTGTGGCCTGAATTTCCTCCTTTGGCCAGCTTATTTTCCAGCAGGGTATCTGATCACTGGCAGGGTACAGCTGTTAATTGCCTGAACTTTGTTTTTGCCATTGTGTTGACTCTTTAGGACCTGCCTTACTTGCTTCAGGTACTTGGCCATTGCTGCTTTCCTAGTGGCCTCTTCATGGTTGCCATTAATCTGTGGTATGCCACCAAGGTATTTGTAGTTCTCCTTCACATCTGCTACTCTGCCCTCTGGGAGTGTAATGCCCTCTGTATGGACTACCTTCCCTCTTTTCGTCACCATTCGGCCACACTTCTCCAGTCTGAACAACATTCCGATGGTACTGCTGTAGATCCTGGTGGTGTGGATAAGTGAGTCGATGGCTCTTAGGGTACAGCTTGATTTTGTCCATGTAGAGGAGGTGGCTGATGGTGATCCCATTTCACGTGCTATGAGTGGGCATGTTGCGGGTGATCTACTATCATTGCATGTGCAATTGATAACAGGACAGCCCTCGCTATCGGCTGTCACCATGGAGAGTTTGTGAGGGCAGAGTGGTCATAGCCAAAAAAATGAAGTTTGACGCCATGGAGTTGCACTTATCTTTTTGAGGAACTGCATAAAAGGCAAGTTTATTTGTATAGCACCATTCATACACAAGGCAATTCAAAGTGCTTTACAGATGCAAGAAAATATTAAAATGATTTAAAATCAAAAGGACAAACAGATATTTTTTTTCGTCTGTTCCATGTTCGACCTTAGTATTTATAAAACCATCATTTACCAGAAAAACAAAATCACAAGCCTTTAGATAAGGAGCTCCGCAGCACTCAGCCCCAGTCTCCAAGACTTGACTGTCCACAAGACCTGCTGTGTTTTTCAGTAGGAGATATGGCATGGATCGTGGCTCCAAATCAGCCCTTCGGTCAACTAGCAGCTTTAAAATGGCATTACTATTCCTATTACTCTACTATTTTTGTTTCTGACAGTCCAAAAATAATGTCAAGCACACAGAAGAATCTCTCTCTCTCTCTGTCGTCTACGATGCACTTCTGCTTCCTTCTCTCCACAATGCTGTGCCAGTTTGCACATGCCTTTCAAATGTGCTAAATATGGACACAAAATATTGACCGCAATCAGTTTCCGGGTTTGATAAATCACACTGTGGGTGCTTAATGATTCCATTTGCATCTGCTCCTCCAAGTATTTTGTGTGTTCCGATGATCTACATACACTCTGCATATTCAGGAGGGCTTTAAATCGATTGCATGTGCTGTTTTGCTCATTTGACAGACGCAATTCTCAATGCACCAGGTTTGTAGATCAGCTTTGCGTGCCCCATCAAGTTTGCATGTGTTTTTGCACACGCAAACCTTTAGTAGATCAGGCCCCATATGTATAACCCACCTCTGACAAAAAAGCCAGCTAATCATACTTTAGGACATACATTTCAGTGGGGCTATCTTACTCTAGTTCCCCCTCTGGACACGTTCCCCCTCTGGACCTGCTCACCAAAATCTGTATTGGTGCATTTTGTCTACAAAATCACGCTGAATTACCACTCTTCGGGATGTTCCACCCTGTGCAGCATCAATGTCGGGCCCGAAAATAGAGCCCCATGTGTAACGTAAACATAAGACCAATAACATAATTTCACTGGTATTATTTCTTAGGAAATAAAAGATGAACTCTCTAGTGGGCTGACTGCAACATAAACTTACAGTCAAACTTACTGCATCAGCAGTGATCAGTTCTGGGACACAGCAGCTTTTGGAGCAGCAAGAGATCCATTTATTGATAGTCAATAAGGACCTCCAGATTCCCCCAAAACTGCTAAATTTACATGTGCATTAGGGGGTAGTCATGCTTTTATGGTTGCAAAAGTCAGATTCTATTTTAAGTGCAAGAACATTTTGCAGGGTCGTTTCCTGAAATCTGATTGGCCATCCCACTAGCCACTCAATTATCTTAACCTATGACTGCCTATTAGTCTTGGCAGGACTTGCAACTGAATCAACCAAAAGGGCTGCAATGTGTCAGGATGCCAGCAGTTTTAGATTGAGGAAAAACACTTGACCTGTTTTTATGACATGTGCACAACATGAAAAAGGAGTAAGTCTAACTAAAAAATCTGAGAAAACTCTCGCAACATGTCAAACAGCACAACATCTATTTATTGGTTATGTGATGTAAAACCTTAATTCACATTTTTAACAGACAGTGAAATATTGTCATACAGTGTAATGGGTACTTCCAACAGTGATTATGGAAATGCATTTTTGTTTAAATCCTTCAAGACTAAAGCTTTTATCAGTGAATATAATGAATATGTTACCACTCTGATGTTTTACTATATAGAGTTAATATATTTTAGACATGAGAATAAATCTGTGTGATACTAAAATGTTTGTAGTTAAAGTATTAATTAATCATTGATTAATAAGGCAATGATGTATATATATACATATATATATATATATATATATATATATATATATATATATGTATATATATATATATATAAAACCCACCTTTGACAAGAAAGCCTGCTAATCCTACTTCACAACATAAATTTCAAGTGGGCCTTTCTTACTCTTACCCAAATTTCACACTGGGTTCTCAATGATCAACAATGTTTTTAAACTGTAAAACATGATTTCGCACTCAAACCTGTTGTTGGTTTAAAGTGTCAAAACTGCTCATTATGTCCAAACGTTAGAGTAATGATCCCTGTACCTCACCCAGCCTCTCTCTCTTCACCCCATCATCAGCCCTCTCTTACTGCAGTGTTGACACCCTCAATTTTACAGTAAGTTTTACAACTTTTAAGTCAAGCTCTGGGGTCAGGCAGGGTAACTTGACTGTTCTAGAAGAAGGAGGCTCTGAAGGTTAAGCAAACTTAGAGGCAGGGAAGGTGCAGAGGGCGGGGGTTGCTGTGGTTTTAGATATAAACAGAAAGCCACGCTACCTCACCTGCCACAGTTGTGTCCTGAACATCAGTCTGTCTGTCTGTCTCTGTCAGTTCAACCTACTGCAGGCTCGACGTGCATTGTCCTCTGGTGTAGTCGCCTCTACGGACATGGCACCTGTGCTCCAAATGATCGCTGTCATCTTTACAGCAGCACTCCTGCCAGGTCCCACATCGGCCTATATCGATGACATGTAAGTTAAACAAGAATTAGTCTACAAATTTCATTCATAATGTTTATCACCTGCTGCCAAATCGCATGCCAAATGTTGCAAAACAAGAGGCTGCATGTAGCGAAGCTTGTAAAAGTTGCATGAAAAGTTGTTGTAATTAGGGGAATAGTAGGTGAGTCGGAGTGACAAGTGAAAGCAAAGAGTTTTAAAATACCAATGCAGGTAATTAGCAAAATGCTAAAATAATGTCCCCCATAACGAGTTCAGCTGATATTGTGCTGACCATTAGTCTTTGTATAGGGCTAGACAATATTGAAAAAAAAGAACTCTTATTGTGTTTAGTTTAGTCACTGTCAGGGTGTTAAACCGCAGTTTAGAGTCCTGTGATATTCCGCTGTCCTGTTAACTAAATAGTCTGTGCAAAGTGTCTACAGTGTTAACAGATGAACAACACCCTCTTCTGGTCTGTTTAATTCAGCAGCTTGTGTGCATATTATATTCTACTGTGTTTGAGTAAGAGGCTCCAGCAAAGTGATAGATGTCAGTGGTAATTAATCACGATCATCGAGGAGGTGGTGACAGTATGAACATGTTTCAGGTCATATGTCTGACAGTCGCAAAAAACTAAAATGCAAGGTTTTGGAGTTTGCACAGACAGGTGGTAGAAATCTTGGCTACTTTGAAGATTCTGCTTAATCTAATAATGAAAAAGATATTTCAGAAAAGAAGCTGAGTCAGTACTTCAGCTGACCATAGTCTTTGTTTCTCCTGCAGCCTTTATGCAGTGACGCTGAGCTCCGAACTGATTGGAGGAGATCAGGAGACCCTGTGCGTGCAGGTCTACATCCCCATGGAAATCCCCTGTCCGGTCTCTCTGACAGTCACCCTCGAAATACCAGATCAAAAATGTAAACTTGTTATCGTGGAAGAGGGGATATACCATTCATTCCACCGCTGCTATGACTTCCAGGTCTGACTCAACATATTTGTGTGTGGTTTGGGGATTTTTGATTTTTTGCTTCATAAGATCAGTGTTGTGTATTAGTTAAAGCTCCTCTGAGAAGTTTTTATGTCTTAACTTACCTGTTAATTGGCAGGTGGCTAAATACCAAAGTTAGCCGACTACCGATGTTAAATAATGGGCCGTCAAATGTTTGTTTTTTTATATTTAAAACGTGGCCAAGAGAGTGGTAATGTGACCAAGACTATGTTTGTCAGATTATTAAGGTTTAAACAACTTACTACCTGAAACTCTTTAATTATACATGATAACTGTATAAAACCCTTATGTCCTGTTAAATGGGGCTGTCCTGGTCCAAAGTAATGACTCCCCCACCCCTGACAGCAATGCATTTTCTGGTATTTCAGGTTCCTACAGTGACATCTAAAACTGTGGCAATCGTCAATGTTGTTATCGAAGGTGAGGGAAAGTCACTGAACAAGAAAACCAAAGTCCATATTTCGCCTCCTGCTTTCATTCACCTCGTCAGAACAAATCAACCCATCTACAAACCTGGACAGAACGGTGAGTTTTGGACATTGTCGCATCATGACTCTTGGTTCATTTGGAGGATATTTCAGGTTTTTAAAGTGTCTCATGCTCTGTGGCAGAAAAGCTGCAGATACAGTCTCCAAACATCCCTGCCTTATTACCAATTCTGCTGCACAAGCATTATTTTGGACTACATTATAACATCTGAGAACTGCAGAGCCGAGATTTGACAACTGTAGGAATTATGTAGAAACTCGGCACAGAGCTAAATGCTGACTCAGAGAATTCCCGGAGGTGATTGTGTGCAATGAAATATGACAATAATATAGAGAGTGGTTGGTGTGCACAAAAATAATTGGCATCAATGGACGTTTATGATGGCAAGGACTTAAAGAATAAGCCGTCCTGCATCACAGTAGGCTTAAGTTCTCCATGGCTGCTGTAGCTTCTGAGTGTTAATCGAGGGAGTGTTTCAGTCTGATTTGGCCGCCATGTATCTCTGAATATATCCAATGTCCATGCAGTGTACCTTTAATATCACTTCAGATTGATAAAAGAGAGATCTGGATTTGAACCCTTGTTTTGGTTACACTTAGAAATTACAGGCCTATTTGTAGAGCTTAACCGCTGGTTGAATTTTTACAGTGAAGTTTTCAGTTCTTTGGAGATTGAATTGTGAAGCCAACCCTGAGACGTCAAACCAGAGTCAGCTCCCATTAAACCCCAAATTATTACACATCTTTTTTTGGACCTGTTTAAAAACCTTTCATGGAACTTCCCAGAAAAAAATCCAACACCAAAATATTAAAGCTAAAGTTGACTGAAAAAAATAGAATTCACATGAATGTGATAAAAGATGATGAGGATTGCCTCTGTCGTGATGGTGCACCTTGTTCTCTGCTGGCACTATGTAAAAAGTATACTGAGGATTTAATTCAGTTGATTTGCAGCATTACTGGATCATGAACTTCCAGGTATTATGAACATAGACTGTATGATTATGAACAACTGTCTGTGTGTTACATCTGGAGGATGAGCTGATGTTTTTTGTTTTTCTTCCTCCTTTAAAGTCCATTTTCGTGTCCTGTCCTTGGACAGCAATTTCATCCCTGTGAAGCGAAAGGTACGTCATATCTGGGATTTTTCCTAAATCCAGCTGTTGGATGCAAACAGTGAACTTGTGGTCTGGCGTGCTTTTCAAGTAAGCCATCAGTGAACCGGTGGCACTGGGTCTATTTTAGTTCTTAGAGTGGGAGGAGAGACTGGAGATGTTAAGTCAGTGTAGGTGTGAAACTCTGTGTGGAGTTGAGTGATAAACAGGCTGTCAGAGTTCATTGGGCTTATACTGTGTGTTGACCCAAACAGTTGAATCAAAACAGGCTTAGGCTCTGTTGGTGTTGAAATGCTGATTTAATCACAAATTTTATGTGTTTTATTTTTATTAGTGTTTTATTTTGAAGTATATTACTTCGGGTAAGTTACAGAGCTGAATAAAAACAGTTAATTAACAGTTGGAAATTATAAATGTTTAATTAATTTATAGCCTTAATAGTGTACATGCTTTTTACATGTGGGTTGACATTTACATTTAGCTCCTATGAATAAAAGTGAAGGTAAATGGTTATTTACCACTACTTCTATCTGAAATCTGAAACGTGTCAAATTTTACTGAATTTGTCTCTCGCATCAAATTACGTCCAATTTGGTATTTAGGGCTCTGTGAGAAAAGAAATTGTCTTTAAGGTAAAATGTTAAGGTCTTTCAGGTTAAAACTATCTTCTCCTTTGAATAAACCTTGTCAAAATTTGAGTGGTGATTGAAATATAACATGGGTTTATTATGTGTCGTTTGTGCAAAATCTTTGTTTTCTTAAAACATTCTCACTTTTGTTTTTCTTCTCTTTTTTTTTCAGTACGAATTGGTGGAGCTCCTGGTAAGATTCATCTACAGGTTTTCAGAGAGTCTAGATTTGTCTTTATTTTGGGAGAAGTCACTATTCCAGTCAAAAACAGTTTATCTAGATTGAATTGATTAGGGAGACTTGCCAGGACGTACTAAAAAAAGGATGATTTTTTGGCAGAATTTATTCATTTCCGCGTTTCCTAGCAGCACATCTGTGCCTTTCTTTTTAGTAATCAGAGCTTCATGCTGTTTATCTGCTGTTACTTTTGATTTCAACTTACAATCCTCCTTTTTTCCACGAAGGATTCCAATTCAAACCGCATTGCCCAGTGGTTGGATCTGTACAATGATGCTGGCATCCTTGACTTTTCTCATGGCATTATTCCCGAGGCAGAGGAAGGAACCTATGTGATCAACGTCAACACGGACAATGGAGAAAAAATAAGCCATTCATTTAAAGTTGAGAAATTTGGTAAATATAATCATCTGCAAAACTAATGATGTTTTATATTAGTGTTTATTTTCAGCAGTTAAACTTTTCATTCCTTCTTTTTTGCCTTACAGTTTTGCCAAAGTATGAGGTTAAAGTTCACCTGCCTCCTGGGGTTTCCATCTTTGATAAAGAGATGGTAGTCAAGATTTGTGGAAAGTGAGTGGCCGAACCAAAAAATATGGATCTTTTTAAATGTAAAAATGTGGCTTTTTAATTCAAACTTGTAAACAGTACATGTTTCTGCAGTGGCTGCTCTGTCCAGAGAAAGACCACTAATTTGAACCTGGTTTTATTAACTTATGTACTTAATTTTTTTTGCTGTAAGGATAAACATTTAGTTTGTTAGTCAGGTGAGGCTTTAATCAGTGAGTCTGACAGTCAGCAGGTTTGGTGTCAGTGGATTGAGCAGTGTCATGTGACAGTGACTTAAAGATCTGAACTTGAATGGTAATTGTCCTCAAGATCAATCATCACTCTGACTTTCTTAAGTCTTCAGGCTCTATTTTCGTGCCTCGCCGGAGACGTGCCGCAGGCGTGGTATAAGTCAGACAAGGCGTTCCCAAGCACAATTTGGTATTTTGGTGAGCGGCGTAGCCTGGCGTAAGTATCCCCCCTCCCTAACTCAGCTCCTCCCAGCGGCATAACTCGTAGGGAGGAAGGAGAGAGGGCGTGGAATGGGTTTAACACAGCCGAGACCTGTATTGACCAATAACAGCTCCTCTTCTCGCCTTTAAATCCGCCACCGTCAAGGCGCATTATAATTTTCGTGAGGTAGTCAAAGAGATCAAGAGATGTATGAAGACAGCAATGCCACACGATGGCGACAGAAGGCAGCCCCTCAACAAGTGTCACAGTAAGCGCTGCATTGGGCGTCCTCCACACTCTCTAATATGAGCACAGATGGATCTGGTGTGTGTAATGTTGGACCCACTGGTAAGACAAACACCCTTTTCCACGAATAAAGACACTCGCATAAAGTTGCTCATATTCAAACCTCACGTGAAAAAGGTGGGTTGTGTGCACAGATCACAACATAAACTCCAAAAATGGCATTAAAATCGGAACCATCTGTGCGTAAATGACGCATCGCGCTACGTGGCCTGGCGCTTTCTTTCATAGATGTTGGCATATAAAATAAATTTGGCCCACAAAACTGAATATTATAATATTCGTATGTCGGTTTAAAGTAAATAACTCATCTGATCACTGAAACAAATCATCTGTTCAGCCGCTGCAGCAAGACGAGGAGAGGACACAGAGACATGTCCACGTCGAGCTGCGTGAGAAATAAGAGGAAGAGGAAGAAAGAAAAGGAGGGAGACGAATTATATATCTTGTTCACTTCATCATGTGTTTATTTACTAGATATTTAATTTAATTTAATGCAGTTTCAGCTGTGTTGGTTCGGTCAGGTTGTGTGTCCAAACGCGTGCCTACGCTCATCAGATCAGATATAGATCAGAATATAGATCTAAATGTATGTGCTGACTCAGATTATTAGTTGTTGATGATTATTTATTGCACTGAAATGTGCCTGACACTGTGGAAACCTGCCAGTGAGGCATCGGTGACGTATGTCGATACACCGCCAGTCTGCCAAAATACCACTAGACCAGCTGCACTCCGCCTGCGCTGAAAGCTTTATACCTCACGAAAATGTCACTGCGTCTGCTGATTCTATCGACACCTCCCTCTACCACGCCCAGCTTGGCGGACCTCAGTGCGCCTCAGTCCACGAAAATACCAAACTGGCTGTATGCCAGGCTCCGCCAGATGAAAATACCACTGCGCGGGGTCCGCGACCCTCCGCTGCCTCACCGGTGTACACGAAAAAAGAGCCCTTCATGTTTCTGACAGATACACCTATGGAAAACCAGTTATTGCTTCAGTCAAGGCAGAAATCTGTAGAAGAGGATATCGAAGATGGTGGATTCCAGTCCATGAAGACACAAAAGATTGCAAGACTTATATCTTGAAAGTGAGGGTTTTGGTTTAAATCAAAAATAAATGCAAATTCTTGTAATCATGTCTTTTTGTGTGAAATTGACTTTTGTAATTTTCTTCCAGACAGATTCGAGCGGCTGTGCTACACAGGTTGTAAAACTGAAAGAGTTTTTCTTCGTTGAGCACATGTATACACAGTACTTTGAAGTGACTGCTGAAATGACGGAGTCCGCCACAGGTAGACTGACTAATTTCTGAATAATGTTATTAAGTTATCAGCACCCACAGAAACAAACACACAGAGGCAGCTTACAGATGTGTACGATCTGCTGCCATCATCCCGGAAAGAGGTTCTCCTGTTGCTGATCAAAACATGCTAATTTAAAATTGTACACAGTTTAATTAGTTATGAGTACTTGACTTGAGCCTGGACCTCCATAGACTTTCATACATCATATTGTATCATATTCGTTCATATTGCTCCTGTGAACATGGGGCTAACACAGCATCTATGTGAATGTTTTGGCATCTTTAACTCAGCTGTGACTGTGTTCGCTGCCATCTAGGGGTCACTCTGACTGGAAGTGGGCAAACATCAGTTTACAGTGTTTACAGATCGATCATCTTTATGGATTTAGCTCCAGCTTACAAGCCTGGCCTCACATTTGATGGAAAGGTAATTAGAAATCATGCATCTTTATAGTACAGCCATGGGCAGTGAGCAGTGTCTGAAAAGCAGTTTTGAGATAGTAAACCAGGGACATTGTCTTATCCAATAAATTCAATCACCTTCTACTTCAGGTCCTTTCACACTGAGACCGTTTTTGTCGTGTGATTATTTCCGACATCAATATTTTTTTTCAAACCTGTATCCTGTCAATACATGCGTTCACATCAGCGATGTTTTCCCATTCTGAGGTATTGCGGCATTTATTTTTTCGGATCATGGTCAATTTTTCTAAAGTTTTGCATACTGTGTGTCCACTTCTGACCAATCAGATTGCGTGTTGTTGCGATGGTGTCTGATTCACCAGTATATCCAACATGGCCGACCGGCTGATTGTTTATGCTCGTTTACATAAACATTACAAAGCTAACGACCTCAAGGACAACTTGTGGAGAGTCATAGCGTTGGATTTGTCATATGACGATGGTTTGTGTGCTGAAACAGTTTGCCAAACGTCTTTGTTTTAACTGTCATCTGTGCTAACGTAAGCTAACGGTTGTTACCATAGTTTCGTGTGCTTATCTGGTACATGCTTTCATGAGAGAAAGCCATCTCAACACAAGTTTCTAGTCCTCTGCCTCTTCATTCTTGGAGCTAATTGTTTCAGCAGGACTTCAAATTGCCCACTGGATATCCAAAAATAGGTTCTGAAGCTACTGTAGTACAGTTTCAGCTCCTGAACCAAGCAGTGAAACTCACCAAGTTCTCTTCTTTTTTGTAATACTGGATGCACCCATGTGCTACGTTTCTTTTCTTTTGAGAAAGCAAAAGGAGTACAAATTTGCCATCACTTGAAGTTGAAGTAGACTCCATTTTTGTCTTCTCACCTCTACCTGGGACGCTGGTTGTTAAGGGAAGGTCCCACCCTACTTCACCTCTGATTGGCTAATGCTTACCGTTTGGCTTGAGTGTGTGATGACATTTCCAGCTTTTCTAGCCAATCAGAGGCGAAGGAGGCGGGACTTACCCCTGGAAAAGTCATACCCGGGATGTGTCTTTTTCCCGCAAAATCACATCAGGCTTGATGCGTATAGTCAGGCGCATCAAAATTCACCTCTGAATATTTCGTGATTTTGCGTTCTATATTCGTGTCGGCCTCAGTGTGTAAGGACCTTTTCACCTTCTGTAGGATATTGATCATTCCTTTAAAGTCCAGAGTTTACTTTGACAAGGAAATCTTTCCCTCTTTACATTACCCATATTGAATCCCGCACTTCAGATCAGGATCAGGATGTCTCTACTTTCAGCATTAGTTTTCTTTATTTATCCTGTCCAATTAATTTACAACTGGTTTTCTAGCTACGAGCTAAAGCATTTTTGGTCAGCAAAAGCAAATATCACACAAACATGAACTTTCATTCCCATTTCAAAGGACTGTTGTGGATTGGTTTTTGCATTCTGGATTGTTTGCAGGTCAAAGTAACTGGTCTAGCCAGCAAACCTGTCCCCAATGAGATGGTGGATCTTTCTCTAAATGACTCACCAATCAAAACAATCGAAACAGACTCAGACGGCATTGCTAAGTTTTCACTGGACACAGCAAATTGGGAGAAGACAGTGAATCTAAAGGTTTGTCACAACTCAGTCGAAACCTTTGTGTGTCTGTGTCTGTTTTGAGATATTTTCTGCTCTGTTGATCTGTGAACAAACTGACCTAGATCAGGATTAGATCCTGATAAATCAAAGTTCTTTGGATAACACTTTGCTTGTTGAATCTGCAGGCTAAGGCCAGAGTGAAAGAGGGGTTTTTCGAGCCTTTGCCTTCTTATCTCAGACCAGCCCTCAATACAGCCTACGGACGAGTCTTGGAATTTTACTCAGAGTCCAAAAGCTTTTTGAAGCTCCTGCCGCCTGATGAGCCATTTCCCTGTGACAAAGTCGCAACTGTGCGTGCCGAGTACATCATTCAGGGGAAGTCTTTAAAGCAGGGGCAGAAGAAACTCAAGATCTACTATCTGGTAAGATTCATTAGGATCATATTAAGCAATGAGGCAAAACACAGATGCCTGTTTGTATTTCTAATAACATAACCAAATGGCTCCCAGTGTAAGGGTTGCTGTCTTTTAATTGTCTGTTACCTTTTTGTGTTTCAGTAGACAGGTGTCAATGATACTGAACGTATTTAAAAATCGATCCAAACATACCTTTTGCTTTGTCCTTTTGCTTTTGGCTGACTCTCTGGTTTATGATTTTGCGAAAAGGTGATCCTCAGTGTGTTATTTAACAGTCACTACGTGAAAGACCTCAGAAAACCAAAACTTTTTTTTGCACAAGGGCTTCTGACAGTGCTGTGCTTTTTATTAGGTGATGTCCAAAGGGGAATTTAAGCAGCAAGGCGAAGTCACAGTGAAAGTTAACAAAAAAAAAGGTAAGAAATGTTACAACAACTGTGGTAACAAAAGCTAATTCAATCTCCTGCAATCCCTCTGGGTCAAAAGTCTCAAACTTCAGAACTCAGGGCCAGTTCAGCCCTCTCCAAATCTCTTGGGCCTTCCTCTGATGCCAAAGATATAGTGCAATCTGACCCGCAGTATTTTCTTTTACTTAAATTATTTGGTTTTATTAGTATTCTATCTTCTCTTGTATCTATCATATCATTCTCGGGATCATTACCAATATTTATGCCCAGATGTGAGGGCTGGTAAGTTCAACACAGCTACCCTGTCATTGTGATAGTCTGGTCCAGTGCCTTTATTACTGCTGACACAGCACAAATCCACCTGTCAATCTCAATTCATTTTACCTTCACTTGGGATAAAAGCTCCATTTCCACCTACAGAGTTTAATCCACCTGAAGCTTTTTTTAATATTGTTTTTGAGAGGGTGTACAAACCCAATCACCTTGGCCCCTTTGTTTCAGTTAAACTCAATTAACGATTGGCTAACCCATGTTCAAAAGTAGCTGCTGTTGTTTTGATTTAATTTCTTCAAAATGCAAAAGTGTATTTTGATGTCAAAGGCATTGTTTTTTAACTGTTTCTTCATGATTGTCTTTTTCTTCTCTATCTTGTGTTTTATGCCTCAGGGAAGAAAGGAGAGTTTTCCATAAAAATTCGTGATGTTGTAGACCTGGGACCATATGCCCAGGTGGTAATTTACGCCGTGCTGCGAAATGGAGAGATTGTGGCTGACAGCATGAACTTCCCTGTCCAGCTCTGCTTCAAAAACAAGGTAACCACTTAAAGGTGGGGTAGGCAGGAATCTGTAAAAGAAGCATCTTTTTTTATGGCGTACATACAAAAAAGCTTTTAATATCAGTCAGTAGCTATTAGTTATTGATGACATTTGGGAATATCACGATATCGCTTTGTTCTGTTTTGCCTGTGTAGTCAACATTTTAACATTTTTGAGCGGTCCATACTTTATGACTGTAAACAAAGCTGTTCCCCACCTCCCCCAGCCTGATTGGTTGTGAGGTGGACGCTGCTCCTTAGTGCTGAGTGGTTGTGAGGCAGACGCTGCTTTCTCATGATGTGAGGCACGCTCCATGAATAATGTTCACGAGCCCAAATAAAGGTTAGCGTGCTAAAAAATCGGACAGTAGCGACCAACCAGAAAGTACAGAAAATTTTCTGAATCCTCCTTTGGCTACGACTGCCAACCCAAGCAAGAAAACAAACTAAATACCAGAGACTCATAACAGGTGCTTAAAAAGGAGGTAGACTAGACAAGAGCGAAAAATCTGTGTCAACATCAATGAAGCATAAACGATGGGGGACACTTCGGGATCTTGTGGACCCTGTAACCTTTCTGCTGGACAGGTAAACCGCTTTGACAAAGTAAGCCAAGTGTCTGTAACAGGGGTGTTTCTTGTAAACTGTTGACCTCGGGTCCTGGACTATGTTACTTTATCCTAGTTGTAGAAGTCCTGCAAACATTGTGTTTGCTGGTAGTCTGTTGGCATTTAAAGTAGCACTAATGCTTTGTACTTTCACGTTGACTGGGCCCATTTGTAATTATCTGAAGTATTTTTCTGCATTATATCTGAATTTAATTGGAACAATACGAGAGAGCAGGAGTGTCTGTTTGTGGGCGGGACTTGCTGGAGCAGAGAGGGAAGGGAAAACTGGTAGGGAGGGGCAGTGTTTACATTCAAGATTTCTCCCAAAAACTGGCGCTTCCTCAGATCCTGCCTACCCCACCTTTAATAATGACTCCTTAAACATTATCACAACATGGAGACACATGACTAGTTTATATCAGTCTGTAGATATCAAAACATGGTTGAGGTAAACTTTGTTGAGCTCCACCTATAGACTGTATAAAGAATGGACAGAGTCTACCTCCTCACTGGGTGAAGCCATACCGAGAACAGCACCCTCTGCAGTATAGGTCATAAATCCCGCCTCCGCCAGCAAAGTTTATGGAACTGTGGACGAACTTTAGAAATTTATTACACAGAATATAAATTTTTCTCCCCCCTGGTTGTGATGTTGACATGCAGTTATTGTAAGACTGGTTTGTGCTCAAGTCCTCTTTTTTTCTGTGAAGCTCCATTTTTAAAAGTTATTAGGGGGTTCAGGTTGTCTTTGATTGACACCTGATACAGTTTATGGGTCTTCAGGGATTGCGTAGCTCTCCCGGGGATATGCTGTTTGAGCTGAGCGTCATCACAGCGACTCTCGGCGACTGCGCACGCGAATGCGTGCATCGCTACTGTGCAGCGCTGATTTCAGGAAATGAATAAAAGTACCGAGAGCTATTTGGCTTCAAACCTGTATACAGGCGGTAGGCAGAACCAAGTTGTCCATAGTTTATACAGTCTATGGCTCCAACAAGTCGTCTCCTACACCTCAGGGTAGCCGCAAACATTTAGATCAGCTTGTACAATTTTCCAGATAAATTCACCTTTACAGCTCTGTTCTTGACATGCATCAACAGGGGGACTGGACTTCAGATCTTTCAGCTTTCCCAAATAAGCCAGTGAAGGGTGTAGCATGTTAATTTCATGTCTTTTCGGTGTAACTTGCTCTGCCTCTTCATATCAACTTTTCTCCCTCATTGTGTCAAATCATGCTGCTGAAGCAAATGACAGCATACTGTGAAGAAAATACACATCAAAAAACATTTAAGACATCAAGTGATGTGGCACTGGCATATCTAGTGGCATCCTAGCTACCACCAGTGTGTCCGTTCCACAGGCAGAGCATCACATCTGAAAATTTGACCCCTTTCATTGTGAAGTTAAACAGTCAGCTCTGCTAGTACAATCAAATGTCTGGTGTTTTAGATACGATCTTACCAACTTTCTTCTTTCGTTTGTTAAAATCATGCTGACAGAGATGATGTTAAACTTTAAGGTACATAAACATAGTTAAATGTTGATTTAATTGAAAAGACTTTTAAATTGGAGACAAGTGAAGCGGCCAACATTGCCCTTCCCAGTATGAAGAGTTGCAGTTGCATTTTTGTTGCATTTTTGTTTAAAATGAGCAAAGTATTTATGGTCTGACATCCTCCCATCACCTCTGAAATGACCTGTATGTCTCCTGTGCAGGTGTCCCTGAAGTTCTCCTCGACTCAGGAGCTTCCAGCAGAGAAGACCAAGCTCCATCTAAAGGCTGCACCGGGCTCCCTGTGCTCCGTCAAAGCCATTGACCTGAGTATCCTCTTGCTGGAGAAAGAACAGGATCTCACTGTGGACTATGTAAGACCCTAATCTTTGGCTACTTTGCCAAGAGGAAATACCACTCTTTTATACACTCTGGTCTAAGTTTTATGGAATAAAATATGAATAGTTAAAAAAATTAAGGAAAGTACTCTGAATCTGGTTGTTTTTTCCTCTTTCAGGCTTAGATTATCAACCTTGGTGTGCAAAAGAATAAGAAAAGAGTTTTTAAAAGGGTTGGGGAAAGGGAAAACCTTTTGAAATACCTTGTGCTTGTGCTTGAGTTGAAGTCTTCCTGCTAAAATAATGATGTACTTGTTTGTATGTTTTTGTGCAGATGTATGGCCGACTGCCTGTGCAGAAGCTAACAGGATACCACTATAAGCTCGAGGACCATGAGGAAAATACCTGCTACTATAGACCAGTGCCGTTTCCAAGGCCTTTACCTGATCCTGAACCACTGCTTATAAGAGAAGTTGGAGTTGAACCTGACCCTGAACCTGAACCTGAACGTGAACGTGAACGTGAACCTGAACGTGAACCTGAACCTGAACCTGAACCTGAACCTGGACCTGGACCTGAACCTGAACCTGAACCTGAACGTGTTAACCGAAGACGGCGCTCCAGCAGAATCTTGCCCTATATGTTTTATGAGAGGAACGATGTTTACAGCGTCTTCAAGGTATTGATTTTTTATTTAGCTTTAAAAAATAGACTTCATGGGATAAATGTGTACATGTTGTGCAGTCAAGTGTACTTTATACTGGTACTGTATTGATTATTTTTTATCAGAAAAACTATAAATCTCTGACTCTAAACTGACAGTACACATTCCATTCCACCTCTTTTTCCACAAATCTTCATCTTCAGGTTTCTCATATCTAACCTGACTAATTAACACTTTTTGTTTTATCCTCGATACTGTCATCGATTAAAGCTGCCTCTAAATAATGTGAATGATAAGTTTAGGAGACCCAGAGGCCACAATTTTACTTAATTTCAAGGGAAAATAGTGCAGGGAAACGAAACCTGAAGGATGTGAAGCAAACATGGAAATTAAAGGAGAAAATTCTGATTTTTCCACCAGGAAAAGGTGTATAACCTCAGCATTTTTTGTAATGTCTTACTTCTTACAATCCAAAAAAAATAAACTTCCTTATATGTCTGCAAACCTTAAATAAAACATCAAACATTTCTGATAGAAATAGCCTGCTAACCATCTACCTTCAAAATGAAAGTCCTGCTTTAGAAAACACAAGCACTTGCTGCCCAAATTCTTAGTCTAGCCCTCGACTCCACTGTGCGTGTGTTTATCATCACTGTAGGGTCATAGCTGCCTTTATTTCACAGTTTTTCTTTCTCTCTTGTCTAGGAAATGGGAATCAAAATTGTGACCAACATGAATGTGCATAAACCCTGCCCAAAAAACACCGCTCCAGTTCCCATCAGTATGTCTTCATCATGATATTTCTGCTCAATGACCCATGGAGCAAATTATACTTTCCTGAAATCATGGTTTTATTTTTTATCTTTGCCGTGTTTTTTTTTTTTTTTTAAATTTATTCTATTAAATTTCTTATGTTAGAGCAAACACTTGAGGCCGAGAACATCGTCCTGGCAGCAAGAGATGATGCAATGGCCCCAGACGCAGAAGAAAATCAAGCCGGAGGAGGGAAGAAGGAGACAGTCCGGAGCTACTTTCCTGAAACCTGGATCTGGGACCTAGTTTCTGTGGGGTAATAATCTAATGTTCTGTGTATCATGTACTTCTTGATTTTTATGTTTCTATTTTTAATGATGCACAGTTTTGAACAATATGCAAGAGAATCCCTCTTGCTGTTATTACATTTCTTTTTCATAGCCGAGCACTGTTAAGCTTCCCCATTTGCTAAGTGAACTGTAATGGCATAAATCTTTCATTTTAAAATAGAAGTCGTTGATTTATCACCCTAGATGAATAACCTTTACTTGCAGAGATTGGAGTTTTCATAATTTTTAACCTTTCTCAACTCTTCATTATCACAATCATGTCAGAGCTTCATACAATACAATGCAATAATTTCATTTATCCCTAGAGGATAATTAATTTGTCTGGAGTCTCATAAAATTAACAGTGTAAATCCAGTCAGGTGAGAAAATAGGGTGACATGGTTGAGTGTCCACACTGAGCTTTCTCTAAAGGCCTTCAATTTATGTAAAAGTTGTGCTTTTTATATCTGACCCTTTCCTTGGTGTAAAAAAAGAAAAAAATAGCTGCTTAAATTCTCATCCATGTTCACCAAATCCAAAGGTGAGGCTGTAACAAGTAAGACTTCTGCATGTGTCAGATGAAACATCAGTCATTGCCCACTTTTGGATTAATTACTCGTGACTTTTAATCCTCTTCCTCAGAGCTCTTCATGATGCCAAATCATGCAGTAATTGGTTGTAAAAATCCCCATATATCTTCTCATATATCAGTGCAAATGTCATTCAAGTTTTCTCAGTGTACCAGTGCTGTTTTTCATACAATATGAAGATTCAACCTCATGTTTTGTGACCTATTGCTATTTGGTTAAACAGAAGCGATGGCTCCATCAAAATAAAGAAGAAGGTCCCTGATACCATCACTAAATGGGTGGCTGGAGCTTTCTGTGTCTCCTCTGTGGGCTTTGGCGTGTCGCCCAACACTGAACTCACCGCTTTCCAGCCATTTTTTGTCAGTCTCACGCTACCTTACTCTGTCATCCGAGGGGAGATGTTTGTCCTCAGAGCCACTGTCTTCAACTACCTCTCCAAATGCATTGTGGTAAATATTTACAGATGAGCTTAATTTCATTTCAAGAATATTAGGTTGTAGGATCAGTATTATTTCTGGAAATTTTTACTGTTTTACGGGTTATGCTTAATAAAACAGCATGTGTTTCTTTGTGCAGGTGAAAGTCAAACTGGCTGACTCAGACCAGTATACCTACAAAGAGTGTGCTGACTGTCAGTATGAAGTGTGTTTGTGTAGTGAAGAAAGCAAGACCTTTACATGGACCGTGACTCCAACAGCCTTAGGTAATGGTTCTTTCAGACATCTTGCGATGCATACTTAGACACATCATTAGTGACTTAACCCAGGGTCCTTCGGATATTGTGGGTCTTTCAAAATCATACACCCTCACCTGGGCGACCCAGCCAGGGTTGATCGAGCCCCGACTTGTGTCTAAGTAGCTTTAGTAGTCCACGGTTCACCCCGATTGATCAACAGCCATCTTGATGCCCTCTCTGTGGCATCTGAGATGGCCTTGATGGCTCTCCTGCTGTGCAGCCCTCTCATTCCAAGCCTCTTCAGTGCCCTACAGAGAGACTGGCCCGCCTCAATGGGGTCACACCAGGTCTTCCTACCAGCACTCGCTTTCCAGCTCCTCATATTTGGCCCTCTTCCTTTCAAAGGCCTCCTCCATCCGGTCTTTCCAAGGAACAGTCAACTCCAACATTACCACCTGTCTGGATGTCTCTGACACCAGCACTATGTCTGGCCTGAGTGAGGTCTCAGCGATACTTAAAAACTAAATAAATAGCAATAAATAATGCAGAAACTTTAAAACTTTTAACATGATATAACCTTTTTAAGCTAACTATTGAGTATCAAATGACTTGTCATACTGAATACCTTCTGACATGTAACAGGTACACTCTGCCTTTCTTGTTCTTCCATTCTCAGTACGCTCGCCGAGTCCCCTCTACCATTTTCTCATCATTGTGTAAATGTTATTGAGGAAAAATTTGGTTGCACACTTTAATGTTGGAAAGCTGAGGATGTTGGACATAAGGGATGCTTGTTGTGTATTAAGGTGATGCTAAGTCCACTTTCAAAGTGTCCACCAGGGCAAGGTCTTTGAGATTTGATAGATAGTACCTGAACAGCAAAGGTGGATAGACGAAAAAGATGCTGAAAGCTTTTACATGTACTCCATCATAGCCTTGATTTCTTGGCCTGACAAGGACTGCAACTGCCCCTCTGTGGATAAGGTCCTTGGGAGAGTGTCCGTGGCATGGTCACAGGGTAGATGAGGTAGAGGACCCTTGGCACTGACCTCCTAGGGATCACAGTAGCAGGGAGTGGCTCTGGAAAGGTGGGCTGGAGGTGGACAAGGGCAAAAACCATGTAAGACTCAAAGCCTTTAAGACTTAAGGGGGTTTCACAACAACGTTGTTTGGTACCGAGAACCAAGATTGATAGGTGTGAAATTTCCCCTGGACCTTGGTTCGGACCAAACTGGACCACAGTCTGGTTCATACCCAGTGTGAAAGTATTATTTTGAAAGGTCCAGGCCTTCGTACTAAAGACAGGAATTGATGCGAGAAGTAGAACTGTCCGTTGTTATGTTGACTAGAGATTATCCAAGAACAGGAAATTTTATAACACTGTAGATTAAGTTATACCTCACTATTGACATCTTATCTTTTTAAGAGTTTTACTACACATACTTTCTTTCCTGAACCCATGCTACAAAGGGTTGCAGGATTGCATACTTTCTTCCCCTTTCCTGTTGACCGTGATAAAGCTGTTGTCTAATGATAAAATTCACACTCATGTACAGCTCTTCAAGTTGTCGCTGTTGGAAGTAGAAAATCAACAACAATATGATGGGGGAAATGACCATTCAACATTCAAGACCTGTATTATTTCATGTGTTGACATCAGATGCTGCTGCCCAAATGACCAATCTATGTAAACTACAAAGACACGCAAAGCATGTAGCCGATGACGATATCACACAGGTTCGTCTGTTAGTCCGTTTGCAATAATGACAGTGTAAAACGAGAGACCTTAGTCCAGAGAGATGTCATGTAATGCCCCTGTAAATGATCTTCTTGAAATGATGAAAAGACTACGTCTTTCTGCAAGAATGACATAGAAAAACTATGATTTAAAACACTTACCAGTTTAAATAATAACTTTATGTCCATTGTGCAGCAATGAGCAGAATATTGCACATGGAAGGGAGAGTGCAAAAGTTTACATTGCAAAAACAAAAACTTGTGTTGGAAAAACTCTGCTTTATTACACTCAATCCAGCTCGTATCAGTCAGTGTCACACAAAAGTTGTCTTAACACCATCTCAACCCCCCCACCACAGCACTGCTGTGCCTGCCTGATTTTACTGTTAATGATGATCTTTTGTAATCCTTCACATCTTCATAATTAAGCCCTGATGTTGTTTGTTCCATCCAATAACAAACACATGCTCTGAGTGACAAAGATGAGACAGAAGCAGCTAATTAATCTGCATTAGGGGCACTGACAGCTGTTGTGTTTCCACCGCTGGAAGCTAAGACAGCGGGCTGTGTTTTTGTACTGCTGCCTGGCCCTAAAAGCAGAGCATTTCTATCAGCCTCCATCAGCATGGATGGAGACGTGGCTCTGATGAATGTCAAATTGCGCTCATCTAACTCCCCCTTAGAGGAATGCTGACAATCACTTGTACTAACAAGTCAGGTAGTATCTCTGACGAAACACTCAGAAACCTCTCCCTTGGGGGGTGATCTGTACTTGTCCTCTGTGTGAAGGATTGTGGGCTGTGAAGGGAGGAAGAGGAGGGGCTGGGAGATGGAGCAGTATAAGGGATAATAAGGCAACAAATAGGGATTAATGAGGACGAAGGAGATAGGAAACAAGGGGTGGAGGGGAAAAGGGAGGATAAAGTGTCAGAAAGCAGACAGGAAGACAATGTCTTTGTACACAAACTGACACAGGAGCTGTGATCAATACACAGCTTGCATTCAGAGTAAGACCCTGTATGTTTGCTTACAGGTTGGATGGATTTGAAGGTCAGCGCAGAGGCCCAGAAGAAGGGTCACAAAGAGCTGTGTGGAGAGAAGCCCACAACTGTCCCCAAAAAGGGTCGGATCGACACGGTGATCCGCCAGCTGCTGGTTGAGGTCGGTGCACAACACATCACATCCTGTGTTTGAATTCACTTTAGTTTTAAATCTTATATATCTTTGGTCAATTATTTTAAAATGGTTTTAATTTAATTGTTACTTTTTTTGGGTGAAATTATAAGCTTGTGTGTTGTAACAGCTGCAGGATGTCTTGCCTTAGCAGCAGCTTTTCTCAACATAACAGTAGAGATTTTAGCAGCCCGAACCCTTAGACTAATGCATCTACACTGATTCTTCATGTGGTGTTACCCAGCATATCACACCTATCACCCACCCCAAAAAAATCCCAAAGGATGCATGTGCGCCAAGTTCAGTCATGGCCTAACCTGTAAAAAAAAAAAACTTTTTATGATGATGTAGCATGCTCACCGATGGTAAAATCCACAGGAGTCACAGATAAATATCCAAATGAGTATGGGGAAGATGATGTAACCTGTTGCTAATATCTGAGTCCAGCTGCTTCAGCCAAACAACACCCTCAGACAGTCCAAAACGGTAATGTGGTGCACATGCATCTTGTGTGGTTTTTAGGGTGAGATTAGCCTCCAGTAGGAGTGTGTGGACACAGATTTATCTGCTCTGGACCCAGCTGAGACAAATGTTACATAGACAGTGAGAAGAGATGAGTAAAAAAGGACAAGTGCATCAGGTGGAAAATACCTGTGGCACATATCCTTCAAGTGAAAACTCTTCACACTGAGTGTACAATGGGGCTGTCAAAGTGCAACAATTTTGTGCCAGTGATGTAAACAAAGATTGAACACAAAATGAGTTCATGTTTTTCTTTTTTTTTTTTTTTACTTTAATGTCGCCCTCTCTGTCTCTCTACTAGGCTGAAGGAGTGCAACAGATGGTCAGTCTCAATGCTCTCCTCTGTCCTGCAGGTGAGCATTCACAGATGACCCAAGTGCAGTTTTATCAGGGGTCCTCAACCACAAACACGCCTTGGCTTGTCTCAAACTATGTATCATCTGATCAGTAAGAACAGCTTTGCATTGAGCTGTCCACCTTTGAGGACTCAGTAACGGTTCTTTTCTGTTCTTCTTGGTGTCAAATATTTATTTCTGCTGTTCATGTTTCCAGAGGGGCCTGTGGAGGAGAAAATGTCCCTTAAGTTGCCTGAGAAGTTTGTGGAGGGGTCCCCCAAGGCTTCTGTCTCTGTTATAGGTAAATGAAAAAGTTTTACCTGTAAAAGCCGCTCAGAATACAAACCCTGATAGAGATTACTATAGAAATCTTTCTGCTGCTCCTCCTGCAGGTGACCTGATGGGCCGGGCTTTAAAGAACATTGATAGACTTCTGGCAATACCAAGTGGCTGTGGAGAGCAGAACATGTTGAGATTTGCTCCAAATGTCTTCGTCTACAAGTACCTGAAGACAACAAACCAGCTGACCACAGAGATTCAGAACTCAGCATCATCTTTCTTGGAGGCAGGTGAGTGGTCTGTCCCCTCTGTGATGAAAAAATGAAACATTAATGTGTCATAGCTGAATCCTCTTTGAATGTAAATATGCAGCCAGTCTGGATAGTTTCAGGCAAAGTTCGAGCCTACACCTTACTTTGGTTTACACTTGAGTTTGTGTGGTCCACAAATCATAATAGAAGCTTATTTGCATTGTCTGACTTTGCAGTAATCAGGTTATTAAAGGCTGTTTGCTGTCGTCTGTTTTATTCTCCTAGTTTGATGGTTTTTGTTCATGTTCTCATTACAGGATATCAGAGGGAGCTTCAGTACAAGCATGATGACGGTTCCTTCAGCGCCTTTGGAAAGAGGGATAAGAGTGGGAACACCTGGTTCGTATTGTTAAATAAGGGGCACGAGCGGAATAAGTGGATACAAACTTTAGTACAGACAAAACACGTCCATCAACATTTAGAAACTAGTTATAATTTGAGTCAGTATAGGAAAATTGCAGTCCTTTTAGATATTAAACTATTATCCATCATTTTTTTTTATCACTTGGAAATATTGAAGATCAGCTAACAATGAGGAGTTTACCAAAGCTTGAAAAAATTATGCTCCCTGTTAAAACTTAGCAGGAGTGTAAATATTGTCTTGTAATGATGGTCCATTTTTGGACTCATAAGATAATTACTCACTTTATTTGGTAACTTACGAAACAACCAGTTTCAAAAGGTTCAGGTTTGAAGCACAGACCCTGCAAATGGTAGAGATTAAATCAAGATTTCAAAAGAGCAGCAGCAATATTTCCCAAATTTTATTCATCTTAAAGAAACATTCTGTGAACTTCTGTTTTGAAAAAGTGTTGAGGGCTCTTTTAGACATTTTCCAGAAACCATCTACACATGGCATGTAACTCCTAAAAATCCTCTATAGTCTTGTGAATTTTAGAAAGTTCAGTGAGATTTTTAAGCATCTTAAAAAATATTTTTCATTTATAAAAGAAGGAGGAGGAAACCAAAAACCACTCGTTGCTTGTAAACTTGATTAATACACCTGTCATTAAAACATCTTAAAACCACAAATTAATAGAAATAATTGATCCAGTAACAACTATTTAACTCAGGATATGGTTTGGTTGCATCAGTGGTCAAGGAACATTTCAACACATTTTATTTGTAGCTTTTCAGTTTAAGTGGGAACATTTTCAGCTCAAATCTCACACTTGATTTGATGAGAGAATAAAAATGACACGCAGATGCAGTGGGAGGTGTTTGGCACCAGTGAGTGTCCTAATAATTTACTTTGTTCAGGAACCTGCCACAAAATATTAATATTTGCATTTAATGGGCTTAAAGCAGAGTGCCTCAGGGGGGTTTTCTGTTTCAATGGGAGCTGGGCAGTTTGGCAAGCAATGAGCACGAGTGGGTGTGTGTTTGTGGCGAGGAGAAAAACTAGGACTTCCAAGTATTGAGTTAGATTAGACTTTAAAGAGGAAGCGGGATTTGGTTGTTTTTTTAAGTGTATCGATTCTGAAACAGAGACTTTGGCTAAACAGTGAGCAAATATACAGACTGAACTTTTGGGGCATGCACTGACCAACAGTAGCTGAAAGAAGCAAGTTAAATGTGACTGCTGTTGGTAATTAAGATGTTACCCTTGTACTGGCTTTGGTATCACTGCTGGGACAGTAGTCTCTGTAGTTTGCTCATCTCTGTGCCACTACACTTGAGGAAATCTTGCCTTCTTCAATCTAGAAGGATATAGTCCTAAACTGGCCCATCAATAAAGGCTCTTGGGTATACAGATACATCAAGGGGACTTCCTTCAGTTCTGAAACTAAAGCAGCCTTTGTCTGCCCTCCACAGCAACATTGGGGACAATACATCTATACATAACCCTGTATCTCCCACAAATATATTATATTGAAAAAGGTCAATTATTCGAATATAACCCAGAATGGAGTCTTTTTAGGGTCCCTATTCCTCATGCTTTAAAGTCTTGAGTTGCCTTTTCTTTGTTAACTGAACATTTTTTGAACAACTTAAGATGATCCTTGTAAAATGCTGCTTTGTTGTTGTTCCTTCACCACCTTGTCATTGCTAAAAAAAAAATATAGTCGAACTGCTACACACTGAAAAAAAATCTGGAGGCTATCTTAGCATAAAACACCCTGAAAATCAAAACAAATGAAATAATATCTCAGCACTTAAGTGCACCTACACAACGATGTAGCCGGTGTTTGGATGCTTCACACGGGCAATTATTTATTTATTTAAAAAACTAAGACTATGAAGATGAATAAACATTAAACATAAATTCAAAAAATAGGAGAAAAAAAATGTATCTCAACATCTATGTTATATTAAATATTTGAATACATATTTAAACTGTAGATACAAAGATACATATAGATAGACATTGTATCAATGCTTTTGTTAATAAGTGTGTTAACCCTTCAGGCTGACTGCTTTTGTAATGAAGTCCTTTGGAATGGCACGTCCATTCATAATGGTGGAAGACAGACACATCGACAATGCTAGAAATTGGCTGTCTGGCCTGCAGCAACCTGATGGCTGCATCCAATCTGTGGGGAAACTCTTCCACAATGCCATGAAGGTAATGATGGTTTTTCTCAATGATTCAGCTCCCTTTACTTAAAAACACATGACTTAAACATTAAGTGAAAATGCGGAATTACATCAGTCATGTAGCATTCTCATCCTCTTAGCATAGATTAGCATATCACCCAGAGCAAACTGAGTGACAAGATATTCTTCCTCGTCTGTCGTGTAACTCATCATGGCATTAATTTCTAATGAAAATATCATCAAACATTTGTGTCATTATTGAGTTTGATCATCTGTTTTATGTTAGGGAGGAGTAAAGGATGAAGTGACTCTTACAGCCTATGTAACCGCTGCTATGCTGGAGCTGGAAGTCATGGTCACGGTGGGTCTGGCATTTCTGTGCTCCTTCTCAGACCACTATGTTCAGCTCAGACTTAAATCACTACAGTTTATGTGTGGCAAACTCATTGGATCATTTCTGTTTTGAAATCATCCCTAAAATTCTATCAAATAATTCTGTCCTTTTGCATGTTTCCTCACATGTTGTATCTTTATGTGACATTTTAGGACCCTGTGGTGCAGAAGTGTCTGGGCTGTCTTAAGACTGCATTAGCTGGTAACGTGGACAACATGTACACCACTGCCCTGCTGTCCTACACCTTCACCCTGGCAGGAGATGAAGAGATGAGGCTGCAACTTCTTCATGAGCTGCACTCCAAGTCCACTTTAGAGGGTGAGGAATCGTATGTGATATCTGTGTACAGTCATTCAAGATCATAAATATGTAGAGAAAACTGAACAAGGAAAACTACTGAGGAATGAGCCAGTTGTTCTACTAAGAATCATAGGTTTTTCTAGTGTATACAGACCAAGTAGGAGAACCTATGACAAGATACAACTTTTAAAATACCAAATGTGTTGGATTTTCAAATAAGAAGGCAAACATAAATCTAAAAATTAGCTGAGCATATTAGAAGGGTTAACAAAAGGTTTGGTGTAGTGTACTGGGCTACTTGGTGGAAACTCATTATTTGCTGATGTTAAAAGTGTGGCACTTACATGTTGTAGTCCATCATTTTTAAAATCATCATTTTGTTTTGCAAGAACAAAATTGATCTAAAAAAAAAAACAAGCTAGGAGAAGTCTGAAGGTTGAATAATGAGGGCTGATTTGTGTGATGTTTTCTTTGACTAACAGGCCTTTTTTGCTCTGTCTTGCAGGAGGCAACCGTCACTGGGTCCGACCTGGGGCTTCCAAGAGCCGCCTGGACTCTCTGGAGGTAGAGATGACCTCCTACGTGCTGCTGGCTCTGCTCTCTGGTCCGATTTTGCCAGACTTTAACTTAGGGTACGCTTCCAGCATTGTACGCTGGCTTGCAGGGCAGCAGAATGCCTTCGGCGGCTTCTCCTCCACACAGGTACGACAGACTCCACAGATTACTATTACAAGAACCCCCTCCCACTGAGTATTTGTAGACACATTTCCCTCCCTGCTCCCCAGGACACAGTGGTGGCCCTTCAGGCTCTTGCTATGTATGCTGCTGCCACCTACAGTGAAGAGGGCAAAACAACGGTGACAGTGACGACACCGGGCGCCAACGACATAGTGTTCACGGTAGATCAGAGCAACAGGCTGCTGTACCAGGAGGAGAGGCTGAGCAAGGTGCCTGGAAAGTATACCGTGAAGGCTACGGGGAAGAGCTGTGTACTCGCACAGGTACAATCAACAGAAGGGCAAGTCATAAAAGACAATAAAAAGATGAACAAATGATGAGTTTGTGATAGGGTTGTGAAAAATATAGACATTAGTCAGGGCTAAAAGGATTTTACTTTATTAATTTGGAATTTGTGGTCAAGTAAGAATGTGAATTAAAGAATTCTGTTTTGACTTTTTGTGCACAATAAGGTAAAAAAAATATATATTTTTTTGAAATTTGCCTTTGCTCTCCTAGATCTCAATGACTTACAACATCCTACCTCCAGATGACTTTGCCACCTTCAACATCTCTGTCACTACTTCTGCCATGTGCGACATCCCCGAACCAAAGCTCACCCTCTTTGCTCAAGTCAGGTACAGTGTCCTTGTATGTCTGAGTGTTCATCGATGCAAATGTCATTTATAATGAGGTCAGACTAGTAGGCTAGGCGAGGCAACATCTGTTAATGCCAGCGGCAGTTAGACCAGGTAGCTAAAATGCATCTGCTACTGCTTCACAACATTCCTCTTTTTTCATTTTTTTTTTTTTTTTGGTACTTTTTGATACTGGAACTCTGCAAGCAGCTATGTGAGGAGTAAAATAACATTTGTGCCGTATTACCAAAAGCTTGGCACCTGCAAAGATGCATTCCTCAGTTTTCATCATGTCATAATGTATACTGTGTTTCTGCAACTGTATGACTGTCTGTGCGCAGCTACTGGGGTGAAAGAGAAGAGACCAACATGGTGATCCTTGACATCAAACTGCTTTCTGGATATTCTTTGGATCAGGACTCGCATCAGCTGGTTAGTTCTTCCTCAGCTGCTCAGCTGCACAGCACTTACTCCATCAGATTTAGAGTTGTTCAGATTGTACTCATTCACATGTTATTGAAATGTTTAACTGATAGTAATCTCTGCTCTTTGCTTTTGCAGCTTCATGAAGAAGACACAGTGAAGCATGTGGAGAACAAGGACGGACACATCATCTTGTATTTAGATGGGGTATGCAAAACTGGCAGTTTTGAATGATGGTGAAATAGAGCTTATATGTCAGGACACCTCAGCAATAAAAATGAGCAGACCCATATTGTACTCTTTATTTGATTATTTAGAAGAACTCCAAACTTGGACAAACACTTGGCTAAGACAACGTCTTATATGGTAAAAGTAAAAACAGAAAAGAAAGACTCGAAAGAACACCTTTTCTTTATCACACTCAAATTTATTTAGGGGATAAGTGGTGGTACCCAACCCTGCGAGGTTCATCATTTATTCAAGTAGCACCTCTTTATTGTCATGTGAGTAATAAAAAATAGATGGGGTGACATTTCATTGTTTTTGTTTGTGTCACAGATCCCGCGGGAAGAGGCAGTGCTCTACGGTGTCACACTAAAGAGAGATGCAGAAATAAGTGTCCAGAACCTGAAACCAGCTGTGGTCAGGGTATATGATTATTACCAGATAGGTAAGGCTTCACCCAGATCAGAATACTGTATGTATCCCCAGGGGAGAATTGGGTCATTACAGCATTACGCTTGCTCTTGAAAAAACAAAAATGAATGGAAGGAAAATAGAAATAGGAATGAATTAGTATAAATAAGAAACTGCAACAATTAATAAAAAGTGCACAATATTAGAAATAAAGCTATTTACAAAGTGCAGAGCGTTTAAGTGAGTAGGAAGAGTAGGAAATGTTTACAAAAACAGTTTGAGGTGTAGGATATTGCACAGAGTATTGTATGATACTGTATATTGTTTGATTGTATTGCAGCTGCTAGTAGCACCATCTCTTTGCACCTCTGTGCAGCTTTTTATTTTATTTTGACTGCCTTTTCAATCCAGACACTCTTAAGTGATGTAACACAAATGCAGTCAACTCTTAGCAGGTGGTTTAATATCTGTATGAATTAAGTGTTTTGCAGAGTGGCTCATTTGCATATAAAGGGGCTAGCATAGTGGCTCATGTAAGGGAAAGTATACAGCACCGATGCAAGGCTTTGCAGTGCGGTCTGTAGAGCATTTCAAGCCTCCTATGATGCTTTGTGAATTTGCTCATGTCTTGTTGGCTCATTTGCATGAGTTTTGTGGGTGCAAAAGCAGCATAATCCTGGCCTGTGAATCAGGCTGTAAGTTTTTTGTGTCTAATGCATTTTCTCTTGCGTGATATTTTCTTCCCTTTATTTCCCTTTAACTCGAGGTAAATGAAAAATACTTGCGGTAGTGACTGGGGAAGTACACATGGTAATATTTCAATGGCATAGTTCTCTCTTCATTCACTGCAGTGTATATAATGTGTTTTTTGTCTTCAGGTGATGAAGCGGCCACAGAGTACACATCCCCCTGCAAATAGAGTAAGTAACATTTCAATACTGGATCTACTGCCTGTCATTTAAGCGTGTACCATAAAGGTATAGAATAAAGTTTTTCAGAGAAATCAATACTGTGACTCTTTTTAATACCAGGGCATGTACGAGCATCTCAACTTCGGCAGTCAACATAAAATTTTGCTCATGTTTACTCGTGATTTTTTGTGGACTCGCAGTCAATAAAGGGCTTCGCTACATCTTGCATAGAGATCCGGGGTTTTCCTTTACTGTCATCTAGTGAGGTTTCTGTTTATGTCACAGAATTAATGTCAAAGCAAAACAAAATTTAGAAAATCTCTGAATAGAGCTGTGTATTATAACCTAAGTCACCTAACTGTGCCAGCTGTATTTCAAAGTACATGTTTATGGATTCACGAATGTCCATGTGTTTTCACAGGTGCAGGCTTTAATGGTGTATAAACAAGATACAGCTGGAAATCCTGCTGGAAAAACAATGAGCTTCTCATCAGTGCAAGAACCACTCTGTCAAAGACAGAAACTTCTAGACACTTTTACACTTCTTTGAGCTTTTGTTTCTTTCAAAGTAATGTTTAATTCAACTTCACCCCTCTACTTCTGTGGTTATGGGAACTTTTGTTTTGAGGGGAGTTTCTGCTGTTGATTGTTGTCACTCCTATCCTCTTCCATGTAGTTAGTGATGAACTAAAAATCAGTCCACTCTCTGTTACTCCTGCTGTTTCTCTTTTCAACACTGGAACCTTCACAATAAAACCTGCAGAGCTTAAGAAAAGAAGTTGAGTCATTTGTGTGTCACTCATATTACTTTATATAGAGTTGACTAAACCGTATTAGGCATATGTGAATGCAATGCATAAGCCTCTCAGGTTGCCAATGAAACAGTACGGTCAGGAATTGATTGTGAGAATGTGTGTGTGAAAGTGAAATTACTAAGTCTTATGCAAGAGCTGGGTGAGTTTTCAATCATTGTAATGAAAGATACATTATACATCTCCACCAACTAACTCGTAAAGGACAATAACGTTACCAAGATGAAACAGAGCAAATACAAACTCACATACAAATACACAGTTTCTTCATTTAGATACCCTCATTACTGGATATTTTGTTCCCTTTTTTAAGCATAAATAGCATTAATGTACACATAACCAAAATTGACAGCTTTGCAGGTATTGGACAAAAGCAGCCAAGAGGACACAAAGTTATTGACACTGTACTCCACAGATACCAGGTGATAGTGTGACAAAAATGTTCTGCAAACTAATGCATATCGGTCCCTAGCAACAACTTTATTCTTTCACATTAAACATGATGGCTAAAAAATTCGGGCCTCAAAGGAGCACTCAAAGAACCATTTAAATCAGTAAATGTTTATCTGTGCAATAATTGTAAATATTGCAGCTGTTTGGCTACACAAGGCTAACTTTAACATGACTGAAAATGCTGTGTCACTGCAATGTTTTTTATGAGTAACTACCCCAATAACCCAGGCATGCAGTTCGAAAAATTTAATCCACAGGACAAGAGAACATGATTCCAACATGTTAAAATACTTTATCAGACAAAGGTAATTAAATGAGTGGCAGACTAAATAATGAATAAACAGTGGTATGGGCCCTGCACAAAGGAAAACAAGGACAGGGGTGAGGCTTACTAATGACAGCAGTAACAAAAAAGGGGAAGGATCCAAAAACTGCACAACACCCGTGAAAGAGCAAACTAAACATGAAGAAAAGGACCATCACCAGGGAACTGTTGCTGCTCCGAGGCCCCCAGCACCTGTCAAACAAAAGGAGAAAACACAATTAAAAACATGCAGTCATGGTAGACCTCATATCACTACAAGGAAAATATAAAAGACACCCACCTCAAACCAAATAAACCAGACATTAAACACCAAACATCAAAATAAGAGAAAATGATTTATAACAATAAAACAATAATAGCCAACAGACCGACTCAATAATAATTCAAAGAAAGAAATAAAAGAGAGAGAAATAAACTAAACAAATTAACTAATAAGTGTCTGCACTAATTCGACACCAGAGCTAGGGAACAGCTGGCCTATTGTCCAGGGAAGAGTCAGGACACAAAGAGTCAGAAAGAGTTAGTCCTGTATAAAAGGTAATAACAAGCGGCTCAACGAAGAGCCACCTACAAGGAGTAGCCCACAAAGAGCCAAGACAGCAGCAGTAGCTTGGAAACTGTAGGATTGGCACATCAGGCAGAAACTGGAGGAAAGCTCACAGCCCAGGAACCGCTATTGAGGGCTGCTGGAAACGCACTGCACCCACACCTACTTCAGAAGACAGCCCAGCTCCCAGTAACACCACACTGCTTGATGACCAATCTGTGTTGCACAGGTACACCAGATACCACCACATACACCTTTTGGCTTCGTGAATGAGGAAGAAGAAGAAAGAGGGAGAGGCAGAGACCAACAAGGTAAATTGACTGTTGACCACCCAGTACTGAGCAGCCACACTGACCTGTATGGTTGACTTTTTTAGTCAATAAAACCAACTTTAATCAATACATGCTTTTAACATGCCTGTATATTTCTTTAGTGGATGGGTCAATAAGGGGATAATGTAAGTGTAGCTGTTTGTTATGCAAAATAGAATTCTTATAAGGGGAGAAAAGACTTTTCGTCTCAACCCATACACTTCTGCAGGCAATTCACACCAACTCACCTGACCAGGAAGTTGAAGACTATGGGAGGAAGCCAGCATACCTGAGAGAGAGAACCCATTCACACACAGGAAAGACATACACACTCCACACTGAAGGCCCCAGCTGAGATATGAATCAGTCATTTTCTTGCCACGTGGAGACAGCAATGCACCAACATATGGCCTCAGAAATTCTTAAGGCTATATTATTTACGGTTCGTAAAGAAATAATATTAGGTGAATACATTTGCAATCAAGATATAGAAGACTTAAATATTGTGTGTCAAAAACTGGTACAGCTGGGGTCTAGCTACCTATGAGATGGCACTTACACAATCTGAGAAGTAGCACAGAGGTGGATGCGAAGGGGGAGGGAGATGTACAATAAGAAAAGTTTCCTGTAACCTGACAGGTCTTGAAGATAAATTCATCTTACCTGCAGCCACACCATGTTAGATGACAAAATTTTTTACTCCAGACTAAAATGAACAGTCACGCAAGCCGCTTCTTTTTACAAACTGTCCAAGATTCAACTTAAGAATAAAAGCATTGTGTGAAAACAAAAACAAATTGGGCTTTAAACATCTTACACAGAGTACACACAGTCTGTACAGCCTTTGGCTTATAACTTTTATGTGTATTTGGCAGCTCACTGAAAAATGTGATGAGATGTGCTGCTCAGGCACATACACACACACACATGCATGCATGCACGCACATAAACACAAATATACGCACACAAACATTGCATTGTACATTATTTAGACCAATATGGGAGTCATATGGCCTACCTGACTGCTCAGCGCTAGCTCATTTAGCACTTCCCTAAGCTCTCTGTTTGTCCCTGACCTTTAACAGTTTATTAAAATTTGGATTCCAATAAAATCTTGTTAAACAAAAGATATCATCCTCCAAGTCAAGAGGACCAAGTGTGGCCCTGAAGCCTTAGTTGTGCTTTGAACATCTAATTCACTTCAAATGACTTTTGGCCTCATATATGAACTTTCTGGAAAGACCAGCTGACCTGCAGAAGGAGCTTTTAGCCACCAACAATTATTTCATTACACGTGAACTGAAGCGTTAATTCATATATCTTTGTAGGGGCTCGGACTGAACAATCAGCTGTTATAAAGGATTCGTAATGCAGAGATGAGGAGCCAAATTTAATGACCCCCTCCCTGAGTTTTAGACAGAACACATCCAACAGCTTGCTGTTGCTTTAACATCTGATGCCCTACCCTAAATGAAAACACAAACAACATGTCCACACGCCTTGAAGAAGCATGAGAAAGTGCTGCAGTGCCAGAGAGCCTGTTGTTTACATTTCCGTGATTATGGATTTATTGACGTCAAACAATGAGCACACTGCTGTTTGCTTAGACAGGGCAGCACCTTTGTAAAGTTGTTTTCTCTTAGTAAATAGATTTTTGTGATTAAAATGATAAAGTTGTTTGCATAAATGTCATCTGCCTCCTTGCTGGGTGAAGCCTCTGCGAGAACAGCACCCCCTGGTGACTGGTTGCAGTATAGGGCATAAACCCCACTTTCTCATCATATACTAGGGTGACCATATTCTGACTTCCTAAAAAAAAGGACATGACTACACGTGGGCGGAATAACAGAGTCACACAAAGTTAATTTTGAGAGTCTTCCGTGTCGGATCGAATGTCTTTTACTTGCTTCTAACTCAGTAAGTCCACATGACACAAACTTGAAACTTACGTACAGAACTGCGGACATTTGAAGGATTTTATAAACTTCCCTGAACAAAGCCGGACAAGGCCGGACATCTCCCAAAAAAGAGGACATGTCTAGGTAAAAGAGGACATATGGTCATCCTACATATACTGCATACAGTCTATGGCAATGACACATAGATCTTTTACAGGATAGAACAATTTATCTTTCTAAAAGCTAGTTAACTAATGTTGACAGGGTCTGTAGCCAGACTTTGATATCAATCAATCAATCTTATCTAATTTTCCTTTAGGGATCAATAAAGTTCTTTTTCTTCTTCTTCTTCTAATTTACATAGACCATCAGATCATTCCCTATTTACAAAGACCTGGTGTACAGATAGGAAACGATTGAGCCCCATCTTGTAAGGTTAGACCCACCCCCACCCCGAGGTGTAGCACTTTGCAGCAATAAGAAAGCGAGTTACAGTGAAGAGGGAAAACTTCCTTTAACAGGCAGAAACCTCGAGCAGAACCAGACTCATGTTAGACAGTTATCTGCTGAGACTGAGCTGGTTAAATGAGACGATCACATCTGGTCACATACCTTTAATTAGACAAACATCTGATTCATTTTCAGCCCAAATGGTTTCAGGCACTCTGAGAGGAGTGCTGCTGTTCAGGTATCAGAGATATTTACCTCAGATTCTATATTCTATATAAACCTTCTACTCATAATCTTGGTGAATTAATTCACTATTTGCCGATCTATTCAAAGGAAATTGCAAGTACATAAGTAAGCCTCTTCATCCTGGAATTCAATTGAGGCTCGTAAAAATGAAGGTAGGACCACAGGTATAACAGTCTCATCCTTGTGGGTCAAAAAAGACTGTCATCTAGTTTTAAAGCAGACATTTTTGTTCTTAATTTACTTTTAATCATATTTCTTCCTCTAGAATGACTCAGACATTTTACAAGTAACACAGCCATAGTTTTTTTAATATAAGCTGTTTAACTACTAGGTAAATGGTTTATGAGCTGGTTTATACATCTCTAGGTTTCACCTGTGGAGGGCAGGTGATAGTGTTTATTAATAAATGTTCCCACTTTTGTCCTACCATGTGTTTAGTAGGAGTTACCCAATTACCTGGTTTGTGTGAATTGTTTTAACATTTGCCTTTTCATTTATGACCAAACACTGTGTAAGTGATAATTAACACAAAAGTAATTAAGTTTCTTGTGTCATCACAGATGAATTCTTGCTGATGGAAAAACCCTAAATCCTGCCAGGGAGTACCTTCCTGAAGTTGAACATCCGTGTGAACATCCAGGTTTTGGTAATCTGTCCCATGACTTCTCTTGGATGACAACCTGGAAAGCAAAGAGACACTCGCTAGCGGCCCGACATAAGCTTTGGCAAAGGCCACATCCTCAGAGACACTGAAAGAAACAAAAACAAATCTTAAAGATAAAAATCGGAAATTCTTGAGTGATGTACTTCATTTTGGAGATGATTACACTGTAGTAGTCACATTAATACAAAACCCATTAGTATTATACAGCCTCAGTTTTGATGATCTATCCATTCACCAAGGGGCCGGGGCCTTTCTCAGCTGTCACTGGATGACCGTATGGGAAGAGAGGAGACGCTCTTTTGTTGTCAGAAATCAACTCTGGGAGCAGATGGATGAATCAATCGAAGATTTACTTATTGCTGGTTTACCATGGCTGAACACAATTGGGTCATGTACACACATACAAACATTCAAGACTGAGACTGATTCACAGCAACAAAACGCCTGCAACAGCTATCCAGAGGAACCTACGGCATGATGGAGCACAGGGACTCCCAGAGAAAACTGAGCTCTTGAAGGGATATTCCAGCATAAAATTAATTTAGGGTCAAACACACGCAAACACAGAGTTAGACACCTCGTCGAGAGATGAATGTTGCCGACTGTTTGCTTCTCTAGCTATACCAACTTTAGTAACGACCGCAGACAGCGGTCTCAGGAGCCACACACAAACCTCAACCGAAACGCCCCTGTATAGCCACAAATAATGCTAATAAGGAGGAAGCCTGAGTGCCAGAGGAGACCTGAACCCACTCCAACCATAATCTTTCTCTAAAAGGAATATTTTAAGCTTATTCCTAAAGATAGAAATGGTGTCTGCCCCCTCTCACCACCACCACCACTACCACCACCAAAGGTAGATGATTTCAGAGAAGAGAGCCTGATAACTGAACGCTCTACCACCCAAACCACTTAGGGTACGATGAGCAGGCCTGCATGTTGGGAACCACAATGATCTAGCGAGGTAATAGGGAACTATGAGCTTCTTACTTTGGCATACTGACAGATATATTTTGTTACCTTAATTATAGAACCTAAGCTTACTACAGATGTATACAGAACTTGAATTACTTTTTCTATGCATTATAAATCAAACTACAATAGAGGATATGTAAATACTTCATATAGAAGACAAAAAGCATAAAAAATCTGAAAGGTTTAATATGAAGTGATTAAATATCATTCTACCATTGGGTAAGAGATCCAGTACACCCTGGACAGGTCGCCTGTCAATCACAGCTGACACAAGCAGCCTTTCACTCACACAGTCACATCCCAACATATGGGTGATTAAAAGCAACCAGTTAACTTGATGTGCATGTTTTTGGACAAGGAGGAAGCCTGAGTGCCAGAGGAGAAACTATGCATGCACAAGAAACTCCATTCAAACTTGCCTGTGAGGTAACAGGGCAGCTTATACAGAGGTGAGACTGATCTAGTTGATCTGGAAAGTGTAGAGTCATAAAGAGGAAAGAGTATCCACTTTAGTTTGTATTATAACCAGCTAAAGACTCACAGGAGGTGCAAGTGAGGCCCACTGACTTCTCACAGGCATCAAAGGACCATCCTGGATCTGCACATACAGATTACCTTCATTTCAACCGGGAGAGACAAGTTGATGAAACAAAGATAAATAATTATTTTACAGAGATGATGAAGTGTTGAAATACTGTCAGAGTCTCTTTGGGGCGTAAACTCTACAGGCTGATAGAAGTTGATAGAAGTGTCGAGGTCTTGAGCTGCAGCTGGATCCTTCCCAAACACTGGTGGTGAAGGTGTTGGCTGATGATGTCGTGTGAGGCTGAGGAAGCTGATGGAGCTGTAGACACGTGGACACGTGGAACAGTAGCATGAATGAACTGGAAAAAATGCAAAAGCATACTTAAGAAGACAGCAACAATGTGATAGGCCAACGGTGAGGATGTGTTGTGTTGCATTGCTATTGGATAGATATGACCAGGTGATGAACTGCCCACTCAGCATGTCTAAACCAAAGGATAGTTCCTGCTTTTTCACTGTCCTCCTGCTCTTCACCTCCTCACATGATGTGATGTGGACCTCTCTCACATCCTGCAGAAACTGTGCCCTGGCATTAGGCAGGGCTGTGTTGATCAACTTTAGGGTGTGTCCCTTGGTTAAAGGAGGTGTCTGCCACTGTCAAACAAACTTGGGGTGGTGGTGGAATGGCTCCAAGAGGTGGGGTGGTAAAGTTTGGAGGGTATAAACAGCAGCCAGTACCACTGCATCCTCCAAGAGTCTATCTCTGACTTTGAGCTGCTGCAGGCTGGAAGTGCAACTTCCTCCAGTGCAGTCCACCCTGCTCAACTTCTGCACTGCTTCTCTGCAGACATGGCGCTTGCGATACATTTGTTCATCGTCATATTTGCTGCAGCAGCACTCCTGCCAACTCCTACATCAGCCCATGATACTCATGACATGTAAGTAGAACAAGATCTATCAAAGAGACTGACTGATTTCATGTTGTCTACAAAAGTTTTGTGTTAGTACACAACTATGTTACACACATAGTTGTGTGTGTAACTCCACATGAAACTCTCGACTTGTTAATGTGACAAACTGACACATGGAATGGTGTCTGCAAAGGTTTTGTTTGGGCATCATGCAGGTGGGTGGCAGCCAGCAGGTGCAGAAACACACACTGAGTGCAAAGTTTGAAATTGTGTCATATTGATGTTTTTTTGCAGGTTGCCTGGCCCTCTTTTTGTCAAGATCCAACAGGATTTAGAAAGCATAGCTAGAGCTTGAGTTTTTTTATTTCATATGTGTGGCCAATAATTCTGTTATAATGAAAAATGGAAAATAAAGTGCACATAGAAATGTTTTCAAATTATTCAATGCATTTGATTACAGTTTTCAGTTTACCTACTTGCACTGTGTATCTGCTGATACAAAAAGCACATGGTGCACCCCTGGCCTAGCAGTCTACATATGTGTCTTCATGTTTGGAGGTTTTTCCTCAAGCTGCTGGCCCAGGTTTACTTCCAGTCCACAGTTCCTCACTTTGCTCTGTTCTCTGTCTTGCTCTCTCCCAGTCAAGGCAACAACCACAAAAGTGCCCATAGAGTCTGTATTTTAGGAACACTGCTGATATGTTCACAAACTGAAGCAATCTCTTAATTTAGCACTTTGGGGATTTTATTTATCCTTGTAAAATAAATCAGTGCTGTACAATGAACAGAGGGGTATTTCTCACCAGCTTTCAGTATGCTTGGTGAAAGCTAGGAGATGTGCAGCTTTCTTTTACGGGTTTCTTTTGAGTTGCATTCCCTGGCCTGTATATAACAGGTAACACTGTCATTCATATTAGATAAACTGCATCTCTGGTAAAGAAAAATTTTTTTTGAGATTCAGAAAGATATTTGAAAAAATCATTACCACAAACAAAACCAAAAAAAAATCCAAAGCTCTCTGAAAATGGTCATTTTTGCACACTTTCTACCCAAACCTGTTACATATCCTCCCTCAATTTGACTACCCGTACACGTTTTTTGTTTGTTTTTGTTTGTTTGTTTAATGCAGCAAGTTTGCCGTAACGGTGAGCTCCCGGCTGACAGGAGGGGATATGGAATCCCTGTGTGTGCAACTCCCTCGCCCCTCGGAGCGAGTCTGTGTGACTGTCCAGCTAGAAATGCCATCTGGAAACCAGAAAAATATCATCCTGGAGAGGGCAGTCAAACGAGATTTTTTCCGCTGCTTCAAATTCAAGGTCTGCATTATTTGAAGATGAAATGTCATTAGGGATATAAGAAACAGGATAAGATAATAAACCTGAACAGTGGTATACTCAGGCTGTTTGTGAACCTGCTATATGCCATGGGCCAGTAGTGCACTAAAGTTGTGGTTAGCAAAATCTGCTTCCCAGAGCATTTTTAACACAATTTTGAAAGCTCTCCTGTTTTCCCTTTACACACAGTGAGGCAGAGTTAGGTACTAGGAAGGGGTGGATGCACTCTGGTTAATATTCATACTACTGGTTGTAGAGGAAATTTCATCGTTTCTAAGAAAAAACAAAGTTCTTCATGAATTAGGCTTGATTTAAGAAAAAATATTGCATGAGGAATATACTATGATAAAATAATAACACCTGTTATATGACACATGGTCACTTAAAAATAAATAGTGTAGTGCAACACACCCATATGATTTATTACTGCTTTGTTGATTGATAACATTAATCAGTCAACAGATGGGTGTGTAATCCAAAAGGGAATTCAGTTTATATCTTTAGTCACAGTAGAGGCACCCAGAGGGAATTTTACATTTGTATTTAATGATAAGCATCCAAAAGGAAGGTGTTTAAATCTTGCCACCTAAAAAAAGGGACTTTGTTTACATTTTATTCACTGCAGGGGACATCCAGAGGGTACTTTCATTTCATTTTATCAGCTAAATAGACATCAAGAGGGTACTTGGTTTACATTTTATCACAAGACAGGCATCTAGACAGCACTTTGTTCACATCTTTAACCATCGAAGGGGGATCTACGGGGCATTTTTAAAATAATTTTGCTTTATGTGAAATAATTTCATTTTATTTAAATAATTTACAACCAAAGAGCTTCCAGGAGGGCTTTCCCAGGTCAATTTCTCCATCCTAATCTTATTAACCCCTCTACAAATGCTGTTTGATTTTACACAATTCCTGTTCAAACTGATAAAATAATAACACAAAACAGTGGTTTCAGATAACACTTGCTTTTCAAAGCCAAAGAGTCTAAAGTGGTTACCTTTTACCCCTTAATGCAGGCCTGTTGAGGTTTAAAGCCATGTTCCTCTGTCAGATGTGTGTTTACTGGTATTGCAGGTTCCCAAAGTGAGCGCCAGAACAGTGGCAAACATAAGTGTCATTATTGAGGGTGAGGATGACTCATTGGAAATCATCAAGAAAGGCAAAGTCCTTATTGTTCCTGCTTCTTTCATCCACATCGTCCGGAGTGATAAAATCATCTACAAACCTGGACAGAATGGTGAGTTTTTAACACTGTTGTATTATGACCTAGCATCCATTAGGGAGACATTAAGTTGTTAAATGTATCACATGGCAGATGGTGAAACGTAAGCATCACCATGATGCTGAGGCAAAATTTGCCTTAATTCAGCAAAAAAAGTGCTCCTCAGTGATTATAGGCAGTGATTGTGTGCGCTTGGCTAAAACAATAACATTCTTCTTGAAATAATACCCATAATTCTTCTTGTTCATATGTCTCTTATTAATATTAAATGCTACTTTGGGGATCTTAACCATCTTAATCTCAGTTATTTAATTCAAATAATTTATGAAACAGTTTGTATTTATTTTCTTTTGTATGAAAAGGTTGATACACATTATTTATAGCTGGCAGTCACGATAAGGACTATAGCCTCAAATTCAAGGAAAAAATGTCAAAAGACAGTTTTTAATGACTTAGTGCTGCAAAATTAAAGACAACAATTAAAGGATCAACTGATTGATCAACTCTGTATGTATATCTGTGTGTCAAACTTGGAAGATGAATAGATTAATTTGTTGTTTATTTCTCTTCTTTCACTTAAAGTTATGTTTCGAATAGTCTCGATGGATACAAATTTCATCCCTGTAAAGCGAGAGGTATGTAAAATTCACGATTGCCTTTAAAATCTTGTGACATGAATTGATGTGCACACATACAATGAACTTGTAGTCTGGTGTGGTTTCATACCAAGCAGTCAGCGGATCTGAGGATTGAGGTTTATTTTGGTTCCAAGAGTAGGAGGTGAAAGTAGAGCTGTTGGTTAATTTTGAAGACGGTGTAGGTGTGAAACACTGTGTGTAGTGGCGTGATACAGGAACTGTCAGAGTTTACCTGGCAAACACTGTGTGTTGACTTAAACACTTGAATCAAAACAAGCTGAGGCCCTTTCCTGTTTGTGTTGAGAGGTTGATTCGGTCATGAATTTCAGTATTTAAGTCCTTCAGCTGGCAAACAGTTTTTTAATGTGTGCCAAGTTATAGGATAAGCTGTTGTTCCAACAAATACGAGTATCTCTCACAACTTAATGTCACTTATAGCTGCTGATTTCAACACTTCAAATAAAATTACAAAAGACTTTAAGGATGCACAATTTTATCGGCATGATATCAGTATTGGGATAAAAATAGCTCAAAAATTGATAACTGGATTTTGCAGAAGACTGTTCACTATGACAAAAGGTGTGTGTATAAGTGTATCAATGTCGGGATTAGCCAAATGGGTTTGGAATCGATTATCTGCAAATATCCATTATTGTTGTTTGCTGTAATGGTGTGGTTTTGATCTAAGGTTTCCCCTGATAGTATGAAAAATGTTTATTTATTCTGTCAAATCTTGACATATTGAATATCGATGTGTAATGATGTATTATGTAAAAAATATTAGCCATAGTTTCTAGTTACTACTGACCTTGTCGGTGTCTGATGTGTAGAAAACAGATGCATTGGTGTGGGTATTGTGTTGATCCTGTAAGTCCTTAATATACTTTTATGTGATTTTCTTCTGTTCTTCTCTTTTTCAGTACAAAGTCGTGGAGCTCCTGGTAAGATTTGATGAAAGAGATTCTGAGAGTCGTGTGCTGTTGTTGACTAAGTGTTAAAATTGCTGTTGTTTTCTGGAGTTTCCAAAGTCTTTAAGTGGTTACTGAATGAACACCAGTTTAGCACCCAGAACTGCCGACTACAGACACCTCTCTGATACATGCTAAATACATGTAATTATTGCTTATCGCTAGCCTCAGACATTCTCTGAAGAGGCACTACCTTCAGGTTGTTCAGTGACTGGAAAACTGGAAAATCGTGTAAAAAGTAACACCCACAAGCCAACTGTAGTTTGGGGGGGGGGGGGGCTTTATGTACGAGATTTACTAAAACTCTGATGTAAGAATTATAGACGAATTATAAATGAAGCGTTTCAGATGGAGGCTGAAATAATGACATTTTAATAAAGTACAGTTAAAAATTTGAGTGTTATAAAATCTGAAAATCCTGTTAAGCTCTAAAAGAGTGATCAGAAAGAAATTATAGAGTCTCAAAAAAAAATTTGTGATACCCCTTCTCCTTTGATACTCCTGCTAACGTAAAGCATCTTGGGCAGATGCTGAATAATGCTGAAATGAGGGTTTTGATCAGTGGCGATTGCTCTAAGACTGCAAGGGAAGCTCGGCTTCCCTTAAAATGTCACCCCCCAAAAAAAAGAAAAAGTGGTGAAATACGTACTGCTGTGTGTACATTTCATTAACTAAATACGCACTAGAAAGCCTTCATCTTTTGTTCAGACACTGTGATAAGAAGCTGATAATTATAGGTAACCGGCATAACTTCGTTCTCATTCATCCTCGCAGCGCCTCAGCGCTTTAAACAGCCGGACGCTGGGCTTCTGCTGACTTCAATGTGGAAGCTAAAAGTGGGTTGTTCCAGCAGCGAAACTAGACGCTCATTGGATAAATGCTGGGCTTTGTCCCGCCCAATGGAAGCTAAGCTTCACTGGAGTTCTATGGCGAGAGGGCGGTCCCGACTTTCTCCCGGACTGCAAGCTTCTGCATCCATGATTGGATGAGCTGTCTGAGGCGAAATCCTTTTTTGATTGACAGCTAAACAAGCGAATCAGCGATCTTGAAGAATAAAACATCTACCAGAGCATTTTCCAAGTCATTCATTCCATTGTTCTTAACTGCTCCGGAGACTTTACCGATCCTCAGCGACTTTTGTCGTTGTTAAAAACGACTGCCGTTGTGTTTGGCGACTCTGTTCTGTTACATACTAATAAACAAATACAATTATGATGTAGGCCAGAAAAATGAGCTTCCCCTCATTGAAAGACCAGCAGCCGCCACTGGTTTTGATGTATGATGGCATCAGATGAATATATATAATGTGTCAGTCAACTGTAAATCTGGTCCTTCCTTCATGGATGTCAGTTACTACTGTTGAACAGACAGCCATCATCTTTAATTTCAACCTTCAGTGCTTCTGTTTTCTGTTCAGGATCCCAACTTTAATCGAATCGCCCAGTGGCATGACAGGTACATTGATGGTGGCATCCTTGACCTTAGCCACCAGCTGATTCCTGAGGCAGAGGAAGGAACCTACAGGATTTTAGCCAGCACAAACAAAGAGGAAGAAATAAATCACGAATTCAAAGTGGAGAAATTTGGTAACAGTTGTCAATCAATAAACCTGTGGTGATGTTTTTTTTTTTTTAATGTGTGTGTACATTTTCTGCTGTAATAATTCCCCCTTTTTTGCCCTAGTTTTGCCAAAGTATGAGATCAAACTTCACCTGCCCAGCGTGTTCACTGTCTTTGATAAAGAAATAACACTCAAGATTTGTGGAAAGTGAGTGAACAAACAGGGTCAAAAATATATGGGTCAAAACAGCATTTACTGGGGTCCTCTGAGAGAATACAACACTGCTGTCTGATTCTAGCTTTATTGATTACCATTGCTGTATTTATTGTCAGTGAGAAGATATTTTAAAAAAAGTGTCCTTGTGTGTCGTACAGGTACACCTACGGGAAACCAGTTAATGGTTCAGTCCAAGCCGTGCTCTGCAGGAGAGGTTATCGGTATAGGTATTACTGGTACTACAGCCAAAGTACAATTTGCCAGACTTATAATTTGCAAGTGAGTATTAAATCTAAATTTAACGTGACTCTGGAGAAAAACCTTTTTCTTTTAACTATTCCTATTGTCTTTCATTAATTGACTCTTGTGAATATCCTCCAGACAGACGGTGGTTGTGCCTCGCAAACTGTAAACACATCAGCATTTCTCTCCTCCAACTATGTCATCCGTTACTTTGAGGTTACTGCTGAAATGAAGGAGTTTGGCACAGGTGGGCTTACTTTTGGACAAAGCTCATTAAGAATCAGCAATACTCCCAAAACTGAGCTGTAATCTGTGTGTTTACCACCATCTAGGGGTCATCCTGAAAGAAAGTGGACGAATCAATGTCAGAAACATCATGAGAAGAGTCACCTTTGTGGATGTGCCTGTGGCGTACAAGCACGGCCTCCCTCTTGAGGGAAAGGTGATCAGTCTCATAAATATTTAGGGCGTTTGGAGGGCTGATATTCTGTCATAGAAGGATGGAAGGGTTTGTTAAATGGGAGTACACACAGCTTATCTTGTTATCTTGTCAGAAAGACACCCACAAGGTGTGTTTTTTTTCTCAATTTTCATTGAACGGCCATCAGTTGTGACTTTCTTTTTAAATGTATCTACTTGAATGGGCACTTGGAGTCATCTGTCCCTTTTGTGGCATGCTAAAGCAGTTTCAATAGAGCGCCCTTTCTGACATTTAGTCCTATGTCAAAAGACTTCTTTCTGGATTGTTTTCAGATCAAACTGACAGGTCCAGATGGTAGCCCTGTCCCTGGTGGAGAGGTGTACCTGACTGCCCCTCACTCACCACGTGTAACACTCACAACAGACCCAAGAGGGATGGCTAAATTCTCTCTGGACACAAGTCCCTTTAAGAACAGAATCTATCTGAGGGTTTGTAATGGCTCTTTAGAGACTTTTCAGTTTGTCTTTATGATTTATTGATTTGCCAGAGTTAGTTGCAAATCAATAAGGTTAAGTGCTAGATCTTGATAAGTTCAGGTATGGAGCCAGATCAGGCTCAAAAGTATTGAAAAAGTAGTGTAAGTGAAAAAATAAAAAGTGAAGTGAAAAAATAAGATTTGAACCTGAAAAAAATAAAATGGTACCTGAAAGTCTTGAATTTCGAAATTGAACTTTGAAAAATCCCAGAATGCATGAAAAAAATCTGTTCAAATGTAACTTTGATTCTGTTTTTTAATACTTTTGAATAAATTACTTATTTCTATTTTTCACTTCAATGTATATTTCGATCTTTGAGTACTTTTTTTTTTTCGATTGACTTTTATTTATTTATTTCAGATTCAGATCTTATTTTTACGGATTCAAAACTTTTTTTTCGGTTTCAGATTTTTTTTTTTCAGTTTCAGATTTTTTTTTTTTCAGATTCAACTTGAAAAGTTTCAGGTTGACTTTTGAGCCTGTTTTTCCGTAGGGGCGGGCCTCGACTGAGAGGGGCGCGGTCTGCCATGAGTGACAGGCCTCCCCCTCCTTCCCCACCCCATCACCCTGCGTTCAGGAAGTGGCATGAATACACATTAGCTTAGCCTACAATTAGGCTGTATTGGCTGAATGAGATCGTGTTGGTTCGTTCCACTTTAGTGGTGCAATATAAACTGCGATTCATTAAAAAGCTCTATTGATAGTAATTACTAAAAAAAATATATCTACTCATGTCATCCTGTCGATTTTTAGTAATCAGTGTTTCGGTGTCGAACTATTTCCCCTCTGCGGCGTAGTGATACTTGCACACGCGCAATCGAATATGCAGGGGGTGAAGCGATTTTTGTCACGTGGACCAATAGGAGCCGAGTCTCGTTGCCATAGCATCAGAAATACACAAACATGGCGACGACCGCATCTCGCAGCGAGACAAGCGAAGAGGAAGAAAAGAAAAGGAACAAAAGAAAACAGCCTTCAAAAGTGCATAAAAAGGAGCGAAACGATGCTATATGCATCTATCATCTGTCCAGAGTGAACACGTTCTCGACTTTACAAGGACACGTCGGGAAACTTACAGAACTAGTATTAGAAAGTGGCTTTCTCTACAGGGTGAGACAAAGGACCTTGCAGAAACTTTGCGTTGATATCGACTTTGACAATGTTCCTGATGACACTGGGTTTCACATAACATGCTACAAGCGATTTATTTGCAAAAGGGGGTTGAGAAACAAGAACGTGATGCAGCCGCGGGTCAGTCAAACCCTTAACGCAGCATCGCCGATGCATCCACGTCCACGGCATCTGAAACTCCGCGAAAGAAACTTCGCTCGAGGTTTTAGGCTGTATTGGGACAAAGGAAAAAGTGCCTAGAAGGTGAATTTCGTTCAAATACGCTGGTGCTACTTGTTCAATGCATTTTTGCATAGACAATACCATTCATCCATACTATCCGCGACTGCATCACGTTATTGTTTCTCAAACCCCTTTTGCAAATAAATCGCTTGTAGCATGTTATGTGAAACCCAGTGTCATCATATTCGATTGCGTGTGTGCAAGTATCACTACGCCGCAGAGGGGAAATAGTTCGACACCGAAGCACTGATTACTAAAAATCGACAGGATGACATGAGTAGATATATTTTTTTAGTACTTACTATCAATAGAGCTTTTTAATGAATCGCAGTTTATATTGCACCACTAAAGTGGAACGAATCAACACGATCTCATTCAGCCAATGCAGCCTAATTGTAGGCTAAGCTAATGTGTATTCATGCCACTTCCTGAACGCAGGGTGATGGGGTGGGGAAGGAGGAGGAGGCCTGTCACCCCTCTCAGTCGAGGCCCGCCCCCACGGAAAAACAGGCTCAAAAGTCAACCTGAAACTTTTCAAGTTGAATCTGAAAAAAAAAAATCTGAAACCGAAAAAAAAGTTTTGAATCCGTAAAAATAAGATCTGAATCTGAAATAAATAAATAAAATTCAATCGAAAAAAAAAAGTACTCAAAGATCGAAATATACATTGAAGTGAAAAATAGAAATAAGTAATTTATTCAAAAGTATTAAAAAACAGAATCAAAGTTACATTTGAACAGATTTTTTTCATGCATTCTGGGATTTTTAAAAGTTCAATTTCGAAATTCAAGACTTTCAGGTACCATTTTATTTTTTTCAGGTTCAAATCTTATTTTTTCACTTCACTTTTTATTTTTTCACTTACACTACTTTTTCAATACTTTTGAGCCTGATCTGGCTCCATATTCAGGTTCTCCAGTAATGACTTGTTATATCTACAGGCTGAGCCAAAAGGGGTTTCTGGAACTTACCCATCTGTGCCATACCCCATGCAACCAAGATCCCAGTCAACAAGTAAGACAGTCCTAGAATTTTATTCCAAGAGCAAGAGCTTTGTGAAACTCATGCAGGTCGACGACAAGATCTCCTGTGATACTGGTGCGACTCTACATGCTCAGTACATCATCCAAGGGAAGGAGCTAATGCCAAGCCAGGACAGCCTCAATTTCTTTTACCTGGTAAGAGTCACAGAAATCGCCACCATGAGGCAATGAGCTGATCGCTGTCTGTACTTAAAGAAACATGAGTGATCATCCGAGGGAATATCAGTAAACTGAGTCTCTAAAATTTCTTTTTGTGAATACAAGAAGGACTTCATGGATCATGCTCTTGTTGTGACCGTCTTCTGGTGACGCCACACTCAGGGCAGGGAGCTTAAATATGAACAACATGTCTTATTAATCGAGGAGTAATGAAGTGACCACTGTTTGTCAGATTATCCAGATTTACAACCTGAAAAAAGGCAACAGGACATACAAACATGATTTGAGTTTCCCACTCTGAGTGTGACATCGCTGAAGGAAAGGCACCTTGGGACTATCGTGTCATTAATATGCGTCATATGTGAAAGGACTCTCTACTGTGTAATATTTCCTTTAAGGTGACATCCAGAGGAGAATTTAGGCTGCAGGGCACCATCACGGAGACTGTTAAACATGGGATTGGTAAGAAAAAAATAAAAATACGTTGTTTACTATGTTTGGCTTCTACTTTTATTCGTTTCAAAGTATTTCTTTTGGATAAGAGCAGTTCTTTTTATATGATGACATTTTTCAGAAGGTATAAACCATAAAAAACAGTTTAAAGTGTACTTTTGAAAGGTCAAGTAGTTTCCTCATATTTTTGAGTTGTGTTTGTGTTCTCTACCTCAGTCAACAGAGGAAGCTTGTCTATAAGAGTCAGTCCTAAAACAAACGTGGCACCAGTCATCCAGGTGGCTGTGTACACTGTGTTGGATAGTGGAGAGGTCGTATCAGACAGCATGGATTTTCCCACTCAGCTCTGCTTGAAAAACAAGGTACCAAGGACTTATCACCACATAACTATACTTTTTGGGTCTGGCTCTTTTTTAAGTAAGCCCGATATACAGTAGTATGTGATGTGAAGCAGTTTGTTCCACATTCAGTTGTGTAGAATACTTGGGGTCTGACATCTTTCCACCAACACTAAAATGACCTTTATGTCTCCTGTGCAGGTGTCTCTGAAGTTCTCCTCCACTCAGCAGCTTCCTGCATCTCAGACCACGCTCCATCTCAAGGCTGAGCCAGGCTCCCTGTGCTCCCTTAGAGCCATCGATCTGAGCGTCCTGCTGCTGGAGCAACAGCAGGATCTCACTGTGGACTATGTAGGACCTTAATCATTTGCTTTGTTGTAGGAAATATCACATACCTCAAAAACGTTGGTTCCATTTTTATATAATTGAAATAATTCCAAGGATCTTGCTGTGCAACAACATAAAAGAAAACTTTTTTTGTCAGGGTGAACCAGAATTTAAAGACAGGAGTAGTAGTTTTGTTTTAATCTCAATGGACTCTGATTGCTGCTCTACTGAACAGTCCCAAAGACCCTCATATCTGTGAGTCATTTAGACCTTGAAATATCTGGAACCAGAGGCTGGGGTTATGAACTCTGAATTTCCTAACAAAGAAGGACCTGACACTAAGTTTTGCAGACTTTTGCAGTTTTTAGAGGACATTTAATTTCTGTTCCACAAAAACAACAGCAGACATGATGACAGACAACAAGAGACAGTGTTTTTCATAGATTTAGTCACATTTGTAAATGGATGTCGGCCACACTAACCAGACTCCATGTGCTCTGGCTGAATGTGTGCTGACGTTTTCTGAAGTTTTCTTTTTAACTTTTCCATCTTTGTCTCATCTTCAACAAATAGACCTCTCACCCTTGTCCTTACTAGCATTCATCCGTTACAAAAAAAACATAATTTTTTTTTTTAATTTTCTGGCGTGCACAAATCTGTTTATCCACCCAGTCTCATCTGCTGCTTATATCTAACATTGTTTTGTGATGTGTATAATATAATTCCATCAGTGTACCTTCTCCTTAACTGGTGAGTGGCATATATTAATTATGTGCATGTGTGTGATTTTGTACAGATGTACGAACAGCTGCCGGTGCAGAAACTCAGAGGATACAGCTATGACACTGAGGACAATGAGCCGTACCCCTGTTGGCCTGATGGCGATCCACCATTGCCAATAGCTTCCCTTGGCTTATCCTATCGTCCCCATTACTATGAAAGGAATGACGCTTATAGCACCTTTAAAGTAAAAATTTGTGTTTTTGACTTACTTTTGAATTTTCATCTTCAGTAGCTTTATGAACAATATGAAGTCTGGGTTTTTATCTATTACTCAACTCAACTCAACTCAACTCAACTTTATTTGTTAAGCACTTTAAAACAACCACAGCTGAACAAAGTGCTGTACAAAACATTTCATCTCTAAAGATTTACATTTCTTTACTCCCTCTATATTGGATTATTTCTGCACTCCTCTCCCTCTATGTCTATGTTGGGATTTATGTTTCACCCTACATAAGACTTATTTCTCCCTGTTGTCTTTTAAGGCTACATATTGATTAAGTTAATACTATGAATCATAAATTGAGAAGATTCAGCGTTAACTTTCATTTTATCACAAAACACAAGCCCCTTCAAAATGAAAGACAGTTTCATTTATTATAGAAAAGGAAGAGAAATCTAAAGCCATATGTTACGGCCATTTATGTTTATTTACTTTGGGCCCTTTTTCTACATATTTGCATTGTTTGTGTGACTGTAATGAGCAAGCCATTTATTATATCCGACTTTTTGTCTGTGTCCTCAAGGAAATTGGAGTCAAGATAGTGACTAACATGAGGGTGAAAAAACCTCGAGAATGCGAAGTGATCCTGCCAACTGTTTATCCTCCTTGGTTTCACGGCACTGATAATGGTTTGTTTTTTCTTTCTTTCTTTCCTTTTTTTTTTTTTTTTTTTTTTTGTTTTGTTTTGGAAGCTCTGCTGACTTTTTTCTGTGATATCAACCATCTAACAAAAAAATGTTGCTTATACTGTGATGAAGAAAAACAGAGCAGTGCTGCCGACAGTAACTTAAAGCTCCTGTGAGGAACTTTTAGTTTGTGTTGACTTTGGCAGCCCTGTGGACAAAGCTGCACCCCTTCTGTCTCTGTTCACTTTTTCTTCTACATAGACAGGTTCATTTTTAGAACTCAGTCTCAGCTGGTTTTCTGCTAACAGGCATACTTACTATGACTCTTTCATGGTTTTATCAAAAAGCACAAAAACTCATATAAATAAACATAAATTACTGGCAAATAAAGCTTTAAATGTAAGGGGTAAGACTTTATTTCCTAACTTTGCCACTTTTCAAGTTTCACTGTATTAACTTGTCATAAAACTCTGCACAAGGCACCAGATTTTTCTTTTATTCATGCTTGTCTGGAGGTTTTATTTACAACATGCAGTCTAAAAGATTTGAGCTTCACACTACACAATGACTAAGACTATAAAGGGTTGGAAATAAGAAACTTTGGAAAATGCAGGGAGGTATCATACTCTGACATTGAAGCTTTAAGTTTTGATAAATGACAACCAACACAGACTAATCTGATCAAAATCTGGATTTATGGATTGGTTGGACAATTTATACATGTGTAATCGTGTTTCTTTATTCTTGCTTTTCTAGACTTTATTACAATACCGTTCTCTTCAACCATTACTACAAGACAGTTCACCTCCACCATCAGCACAACAACATCAGCTATTCGGTTTACCACATCAGCACTTAGAACGACTACTTTTTCACAGGCTACTATCTCACAAGCAGGAGCATCAGGAGTGAAAGTGAAGAAAGAGGTCATTAGGAACCTCTTTCCTGAAACCTGGATTTGGGACCTGGTTCCTGTTGGGTAATGATTGTCCTTTTTTCGTACACTCTGTGAAAATGTGTTGAACTTTTTTGTGTCAGTAAGGAAAATATTTCATGTCTTGGTGTGTGCAGAAGTAAGGCAGAATTTCTCATTTTGTTTTGTTTTATTTTATTTATTTTTTACTGGGGTGGGTAAGCTAGGGCACTGACTTGGATAGGGGTGGCCAGGTGGGGGTAAACATTAGGATTCTCCCTAAAACATGGGTAACCTCCACTAAGTACACCCACTTTAGCTTTAATATTAAAGAATCCAAAAAAGTTGTCCTCTTACACCTAAAATAAGTTTTCCCAATTATTTAGATTTTTTAATGAAAATATTTTTTTCTTGTTCGCAAAATTTTATTCGTGTTGGGCATGTTTTTTCCGATTCAGGTATATATGTAGCGCTATCTTAAAGTGTGGATTTAATTTAACAACACTGTCAAAACTTTTTGTGATTCTTGTTCTCCAACAATTTTTCTCACTGTTCTAACTCGATCCTGCTGAATGGGTGAGGAACAAAAATGTATTTGATAAGACATTTAATTTTCTAGTTTGACCCCCGCTTGATCTGATTACATGAGGGAGGCGGGTTTATGATCTATACTGAAACTAGCTGGTAGAGGGAGCTGTTAATCTTTTGGCTTCGCAGTCTGTGAACACTTATGGTGCCTGTTATCGTGCACGGTATGGAGAAAACAGAGCAAACACCCAGTTATAAACCTGGAGGTAAACACAATACATTACAGATCCTGACTGTGACAACACAGTAGGTCACTAAGTAAACAAAGCCAAGTCCTACTTTTAACTATACAGAACAAAACAAACTGTTCAGAGCACATTCAACACTCTTTCATCATCCCTACATCCCTGGCATATAACTGATTTGAGCATTTTTATGAAATCACAAACAGACTTTTACATCATAAAAGTCCATGAACTTTAAAGGGATATTCCGGCATAAAAATAATTTAGGGTCAAACACACCATAACATCCAGTTAGACATCCCCTCAAGAGATAAATGTTGCCGACTGTTTGCTTCTCTAGTTTTACCAATTTTAGTAATGACCACACAATAGCAATACACAGTGGTCTAAGGAGCCATAAACAAACCTCAACGCCACTCTATAGCCACAAATAATGCTCAGAACAGCACCTAACTTCATCAACAGTAAATATAGGGTGCCAGCCACAGCACTAGCCACCAAACATCTTTTTAACTTTGCCTAATTTCTTTAGCAAAGAGACTAAACACAACTCACCTACTCTCTTCCAGCAGCTGCCTGTTTGTAGCGTCCCCGGGCCAGTCCATTACGGACTGCTGTGGGGTGACGCAGCTCAAGGAAGAACATTTATGATCATTTCTTTATCATTTCCTTGAAGTAATAATCACCATATCAATCATTTTGCACTGCAGACTTGGTGGTTCTTCTGCCTTATTGTCTCGGTCTGATTGCATTTCCATGAAGAAATGATCATAAATGTTCTTCCTTGAGCTGCGTCCCCCCACTGCAGTTTGTAATGGACTGGCCTGAGATCTCACTACAAACACACCGGAATATCCCTTTAAGATTTCTTTTTGATTATATATGCATCACTTTTTATCTTGTTCCTCCTGTATGTTTGACCAGAAAGGATGGTTCTGCGGATGTGGTTAAGACGGTCCCTGATACCATCACTAAATGGGTGGCTGGAGCTTTCTGTGTCTCCTCTGTGGGCTTTGGCGTGTCGCCCAACACCGGACTGACCACCATCAAGCCATTTTTTGTCAGTCTCACGCTACCTTACTCCGTCATCCGAGGGGAAGAATTTACCCTCAGAGCCACTGTTTTCAACTACCTCTCCAAGTGCATTGTGGTAAATAATAATAGATTCATAGGTGATGATTTAATTAGAAAAGAGTGTGATAATGTTGGATTTTTGATGGTGTTATGGGTACAATTAAGCCTTTCTGTCTGTTAGACTCAGTATGTGTTTCTTTGTACAGGTAAAAGTCACACTGGCTGACTCAGACCAGTACACCTACAACAAGTGTGTTGGCTGTCAGTACACTGTGTGTCTGTGTGGTGAAGAGAGCGCCACCTTCAGATGGACTGTAGCTCCATCTGCCTTAGGTATCAAAACAAACACACGAGACTAAATAATCACTTTACAATTCAGTGTTGTTAAAAGATGGAAGAAAGCATAGTAAAGAGAGGACAGTAGGAGGACTGGAAGGAAGAGAGAAAGGGCACAAGGTCAAAAGAAAGACTGGACAAGGGATTGACTAAAAGGAGGAGGTGCAAGGGAAAGGGCGAAAGGGTGGACAGAAGACGAAAGAAGGACAAATGATAGAATAATGGGTGGCAAAAACGGAGGGAAGGAGAAAAAATGGGAAGAAAAGAAGACAAAGTTGGAACAGTGAGAGAGAAAGAAATAAGGTCAGTAGAGAGGAGAGAAAAAAGAATCTGATGAAAAGAATTGAGAGAAAAGGGAAATAAGTAGGGACTGAGAAAAGACAGTCAAGATAGAAGAAAGGAAGGAAGGAGGGAATGTTAGAGGCAAAGACAGCAGGACTAAAGGAAGGGAGGACGAAAGGAAAGAAGGCAGGAAGATAGGACAGAAGGATGAAAGTAAGATAGGCACGAGAAAAGGAAAATAAGATGACAGCAAGGATGGCAGGAAGGAAGGAAAGAAGGAGGAAAGTAAGAGTGGCAAGAAGGGAGGAAGGAAGAGAAGAAGTAGAAGGAAGACAGGAAAGATGGAAGGAAGGGGGCAAGTATGTAAGGCACGAAAATAGGAAGGAGGGAAGATAGAAAGAAAGGAAGGATGGATTATTGAAATGAAAAATGAAGTAACTAAAGGAAGGAAGGATTGGGGTGAAGAAAGAGGCAGAAAGGAAGGGAAGGGTAGAAGTCAGGAAGGTGTGTAGGAAGTGAGGGTATACCTTGTGCTCATACGAGGTAACTGGACATGTTTCTAGAGAGGTTTGTTTTGCACTGATTTAAAGGGGCTAATCATTCCTTAGTTGATAAGACATGAGCAGCTCTTGAGCACAAAGAAGCCGTTTGTTGTGTCGAGTTGATCGTAACCTCTAGTGACAGCGTCTTTGTGCCTCATTTGCTCAGGTTGAGTAGGTGCAAAAGTCATGCAACCCTTGTGTGAGTCAATGACAAACAGACAGAAGCAGCTAATTAATCTGCATTTAGGGAAATGACAGCTGTTGCATTTACACCGCTGAAAGCAAAGACTGCAGGCTGTGTTTTTGTACTGCTGCCTGGCCCTGAAAGCAGAGCATTTCTATCAGCCTCCATCAGCATGGATGGAGACGTGGCCCTGATGAATGTCAAATTGCGCTCATCTAACTCCCCCTTAGAGGAATGCTGACAATCGCTTATACTAACAAGTCAGGTAGTATCTCTGACGAAACACTCAGAAACCTCTCCCTTGGGGGGTGATCTGTACTTGTCCTCTGTGTGAAGGATTGTGGGCTGGGAAGAGAGAAAGAGGAGGGGCTGGGAGATAGCGCGGTATGATGGATAATAAGGCAACAAATGGGGATAATAGAGGACAAATGGAACAGGAAGTGAGAGGGGCAAGGCATGATGATTTGTAAAGCAGATAGAAAGCTGTCACTGCGATCAATATGCAGCCACTTTCACAATAAGGGTGTTTAACCCTGCATGTTTGCTGACAGGTCAGGTGGATTTGAGGGTCAGCGCAGAGGCTCAGACGGACGGCGCTCTGTGCGGAAACAAACCCACAGCTGTCCTCGAATATGGCCAAATTGACACAGTGATTCGCAAGCTGCTGGTGGAGGTTAGTGACATTCAATCACAGCACAAATATCAAAGCAAATAGTCATGAGGTCCGAGAGAGTTAATCTATTTGTCCAAAACTTGGAGAAGCTCCATTTTAGTTGTTTATTCATTGAAATCAATTTGACTACTAACATGCGCTCTCTCTTCACCAGGCTGAAGGAACTCCTCAGACAGTCAGTCACAACGTTCTACTCTGTCCTGCAAGTGAGCATTTACAGGTGTTATATGAACAGTTATATTGATTTCCTTATTTGGAGCAAAGGGAAAAATGGCGGGCTCTATAAATTCACCTGTTTCTCTGTGTCTTTGTCTCCAGCCAAGACTCTGGAGGAGAAAATTTCTCTTGAGTTGCCCGAGACCTTTGTGGAGGGATCACCTAAGGCATTTGTGTCTGTTGTGGGTAAGTGAAACAGTTTTACCTGTAAAGACTCAACACAGGCACCCAACAGGCCAGTTGATACTTATTAAACCTGCTGAGAATAGAAATCCTGACAGACATTATTGTGGGAACCTTTTGCGGGTTTTTGTCTGCAGGTGATGTGATGGGCCGAGCTTTGAGGAACCTCGAGAAGCTTTTGAGGATGCCGTACGGCTGTGGGGAGCAGAACATTGCGACACTTGCTCCCAACATCTTTGTCCTTGACTACCTGAAGAGCTCGCACCAGCTGACTACAGAGATTCAGAACAGAGGGGAAAGAAACATGAGGGCAGGTGAGTTGTTTTGGGGTCATTTGAAATCAAATCAAATCAAACTTTATATATAAAGTGCTTTTCATAGAATAGGGTGTAACACAAAGTGCTTTAAGGCCAGTTTAAAAACCAAAAACAATCCCAGATCCCCCCCATACACACACACACACACACACACACACACACACACACACACACACACACACACACACTTGCCTTACCCCACCCAACAATACAACCGACAGTCAAGTCACGGTCACATACAGTCTCATCCAAAGCCACACACACACACACAGACATGCAGAACACACACCAGCACCTACGCACTCTAAGATAGTGAACATGAGGCTGGGTGCAAATGAACCAGTCAAGAAAGTGCAATCAGAGGAGCCGTCAGCACCAAGAGCAGAGAGCCGCCCACAGCCACAGGACACCAACACAGGGCCAGTAGAGGGGTGGGGCAGGCACCAACCTACACCAGGATCCCCGTGACCGGCCCCTGCAACCACAGTAAACCACTGCTCCAGATGCAGAGGGCTGCCCAGAGGAAACACCAGGGGTCCTAAAAATGATTTTAAAACATGAAAAGTAAAATAAAAATTAAAATATGAATAAAACACAGACCATCTTAGAAACAGATAACAATAGTTTTCTGGTGTTTAATTGCAACATCAACCTTACAGGCTGGGACACCTTAATTCACCTAATATAAGCACACTGTTGTAAGGTGTAAAAAAAAAAGTAGAGCTGTTTCCTGTTAGTTTGCCATGCTGCTGTAGTCTCACAATTTGTTTTTCACATGTTCTTGGTTCAGGCTATCAGAGGCAGCTGAGGTACAAGCATTACGACGGTTCCTACAGCGCCTTTGGACAGACATCGGGTTCTGGAAATACCTGGTTAGTAGTCTTTGTCGTCTGATTGGTTCAAATAACTTGATCTTGGGCATTGATTTTGAATAGTAAAGTGAGAGGTTGCCTGCACATGTGTGACACAAGTTACATTAATTATCAGAGAGCCTATTTCTTAAGATTATGATAATGATAATGTGGCAAAACTGTTAGTTTCTGTCTGATAGCACCATCGAGCTGAGTACAAACTTTAGAAATTTATCACACAGAATACTAATTTTTCTCCCCCCTGCTTGCAATGTTGACCTGTAGTTATTGTAAGACTTGTTTGTGCTCAAGTCTTCTTTTTTTCTAAGCAGCTTTATTTTTAAAAGTTATTAGGGGATTCATGTTTTCTATGATTGACACTTGATACAGCCTATGGGCGTACAAAGGTTGCGAAGCTCACCTGGGGGATAAGCTGTTTGAGTGCGTACATTGCCACTGCGCAAGTGGTGGAGTGGGTACAATGCTACTGCACAATGTTGGTTCCAGGAAATGGAGAAAAAATGCAGAATTACCGAGAGCTTTTTGATTTCAAATCCATATACTGGTGGAAGGCGGAACCAAGTTGTCCATAGTATATACAGTCTATGTTAAAAACACAGACCAAAAAACACAGTGATGCTTCCTCTTCTTCTCTGCTGATTTGGTCTGAACAGGCATTTTCCACCCTTTTAACAGAATCAAATATCCACCTACATGGTAATAAGCACTTTGTCACATCTCAATATGATGGCAACAGACAATAATGACAAAATCATGTTTGAGTAAAACTTATTTGGCATACACTTTGATGCTGTACTCTGTCCCATGTCCCATCTGTTTACATGGAGGAGGCAAGCTTCATGGACTACACTGCAGCCACTCAGAAAAGGCTCTCAAACCTTCCCTTATGGGCTGTAAAACTCTGTCATGGTTGTATCATTTACAAGATTTATTACTAAAATTGTATACCGTTACAAAAATGGTGTTTGTCAAGATCTCTGAGGTTTTCTAGTACCCTTAGTAACCCTTTACTGAAATCACATTTTCTTCCCGTTTATATCTCACAATAGAGCACTTATTCTTAACAGAAGACTTTTTTTCTGAGAGGATTTATGTACAAATAATTTAAACTGATTTATTACATAATAATAATAATTATAATAATAATTCAGTGAAGTTTAACAATTTGAAATGTTGGCTTGAAATAAAACTTGAACTGAGGAGGAAGCAAAAACTACTCACTGTCTGTTTACTTATCTACACACCTGCCACTAACAGTTAATATTTAAAGCCTTGTATAATGGCACCAAAAAAGATTGATAATAGAAACGTTCATATTTGTAAAGCTCATGCTGTGGTTGCATCAGCAGCCAGGACACACTTTGAAACATGTAATCAAAAGCATTTCTGTTTCACTGTGGACATTTCTATAACTCGATCTGACGAGAGAATCGAAAAGGACTCCCGCACTCATTGTGGGAGTTTTCATGGCACCAGTGAGCAGTCTATCATTTACTTTTTACAGGAACCTACTAGAGATATTAATACTCGCAATTAACAGACTTAAAGCCGAGTGACTTGGAGGATTTCTTGTTTAAAGGGTGCTGGGCAGTTTGGCATGCATGAGTGTGTGGGTGTGTGTTTGTGGTGAGGAGAAACTAGGCCTAAGTGCTTGATTGATTTAAATTTTCAGCAGGATATGGGTTTGGACCGTCAACAACAATTTAAATTTCCAAACTGGAAAAAGACTTTCAATGAAGGATGGGTAGATAGATTTCTTTAAAACCACACTGATCAACAGCAGTTCACAGAAACATTGGTCTTGAATATGAAGCGAGCTTCACTGCTGACCCTGAAAGAGCAGCTCATGCTGTCCCCCAAACCATCTCACAAAGATGGTGATTCACCTGATATAGTATCCAAAAGTTCAGTCAGACAACTCTGTGTCATGCTTAAGGCAATTTATTGCAGCAGCAGCAGAACAGGGAATGTGTTTGTTGTCTAGACCTCATCCCTCCTTGCAGTTTTTCTTTTACATGCAGAAATCAAACAGACATGTGACAGTTTTGAAACCTCTCAATGGGAGCCTGCAGGTGGATGCAGTGGGGGTGGTGGGACTGAAAATGGCAGCATAGCACCTACCCATGGCAGCTGTGGGGATCGAGGCAGAGCCCAGAAATCATGCAGCTTAAATGTGGAGAACATGGAGAACATCAAATTGGGAGAAAGTTTGTCAAATGCAAATCAAGAGTGAAAACAACACAGCCTGAGATCACTTCCTGAACTAGCTCCCATGATGCATTGCAACATTTGCTGTGAACACGTCCATCTGAACAGGGTTCCCAACATAGTATATCTCACCTCTTATATGAATAAGTCAGAAGATCATTATAAGAGTTTAATAAATTATCATCACTTGATTGACTCTTTGAAATGAGTTTTCAACTTAATAAAACAATGGACATGTAACAAATTGTATTTTTTAAGCTGAAAAAGCTCATGTTTTTAAGTCACACTAACTAACCTCCTGAATCCTTCATTAGAGTGCAGAATTATAATAAAACAGTTTCTTGGCCTCACCAGTCTTTGCACGCCTTACTGCATCAGTCTTGTAGAAACACCTCTGTGTGTGTTTGTGTGACCCTCCAGGCTGACTGCTTTTGTCATGAAGATCTTCAACGGGGCAAAGAAGTACATCTATGTGGACAACAAGCACATTGAACAAGCCAAGAGTTGGCTGTCCACAATCCAGGGTCCTGATGGCTGCATTAGGTCTGTGGGGAGACTCTTCCACAATCGCATGAAGGTAATGACACCAGAGTGTGAATACACCAGATAAGACGGTCTGATTTCACGTCACCAGCCCTGGTGGTTTACAGGTCTAGAGTCTGATTTATGCTTGAGTCAATTATACCTTCAAAAACCTATTTAAGTGTTTGTTTGTTTGTTTGTTTGTTTTTAAACTAAACCAACACCTGTGTCATTAAATATGATCAACTTCCTTTTCCACCAGGGAGGAGTGAGGGATGAAGTGACTCTGACAGCCTACGTCACTGCTGCTCTGCTGGAGATCGATGACGATGTCACAGTGAGCTTGACATTACCCCACAGTGATACCATCTCTTTAAGATATAGTCACTCCTTATTCAAAACCATTTCAGTCTAATATAAAGTTCTTCTTTTGCCAAAATAAGTATAATCCCCTTTATTCTTGCGTCTGTGTGCGATGTATTAGGAGGCCGTAGTGCTGAACGGTCTGACCTGTCTGAAGAATGCATCGGCTGGTACTGTGGACAACATATACACCAAGGCCCTGCTGTTCTACACCTTCACTTTGGCTAAAGATCAGCAGATGAGGCTGAAACTTATGCAGGAGCTGCACTCAAACTCCTTTACAGATGGTGAGACAAAAATCTGCAAAATCTGCATTTCACAAAAATCCCTGCAGTTATAAAACATCATGAGGACAGAGAGGAAACACAACATCTGAGGAAAAAGTAATGAGGTCCATCTGCTGGAGAGTGGTTGTTTTTTTCTCAAAGTGTTATGCTCAGTACATAAAAAGCAAAAAGCTGCTAACATTTCCACTCAGGTTGACACTGATATTGTCCTCATTCAGCTCTCCTTTGTGAGTCACTCACATCTACGGGGTAAAATCTCATTACCAGACTTTCAAAACCATCCTGAGATAGACACAAATGTTTTTGCCACAGTGTCAACAGGCAGAGTCTGCACTCTTTTCATTGTTTGATTTATCACCAATCAGAACTTAGTATTCAACACAGCCAGGTGACAAACTTTATTCATGATTTGATTGAAAACAGTGAGGAAGTCTGAAACTGGGACCACAGCTCTTTTAACCAACATGGTCACTGCTACCTGAGGAACCAAATCAGCAGAAAGGCAGCATCACGAAAAGACTTCTCAGACTCAAACCCCAGTTTCTGGACTTGTCATAACTATGAGTGACATCTCTAAATTAACACATTTGTTGTATTGTTTCCTTGTCATATCTTCTACTTTAATGTTTTTGTTTTATTTTTATCATACACTAGTACTTCTTCACCACATTATTCTAGTTTATTCGAATTTAAAAAAAGTCTCCTTTTCTTTGTTTTACAGGGGGCACTCGTCACTGGGTTGTACCAGGGGCTTCAACAAACCCCTATTACTTGGACTCTCTATCAGTTGAAACGACCTCCTATGTGCTGCTGGCTCTGCTCTCTGGTCCCACTTTGCCCAACTTTCAACTCGACTATTCCACTAGCATCGGGCGCTGGCTCATCAAGCAGCAGAACCCTTATGGTGGCTTCTCCTCCACACAGGTAAAACAAACAGCAGACACAGAGGCCCTATATGAGATTTATTTTTACCTCCATGGATGTTTTTAATGACACATTTCACCCCTCTGCCCGTCAGGATACCGTGGTGGCTCTCCAGGCTCTCGCTAAGTACAGTGCTGCCATCTTTAACAAAGAGGGCATAACTCAAGTGACAGTCAAGTCCAAAAGTGAGACGATTCAGTTCACAGTGAATGAGAAGAACAAGCTGCTTTACCAAGAGGAGAAGCTGAGCGAGGTGCCTGGAGAGTACACAGTGAAGGCCAAGGGGAAGGCTTGTGTGTTGGTTCAGGTACAATCATGGTCCACAGGAGTCATAAAAGATCAAATAGCCGGAGTTTGAGAATGTGTGTGGGGAAATTAGGCTTATTCTGTTGTTTACAATTGATGGATTTGTTTGTGAAGTACATACAGTATGTAATGTCAAGACATTTGCAGAGGATTTCCATCTGCAAAAATCTGTCACTCTCAATTTGAGACATTTTAAGAACATTCTGATGTATGAAATCCTGATTTTTGTTCAGAGTTTGACTCCAAATTTGCTTTCACTCTCTTTAGCTCTCAATGACCTATAACATCCCTCCTCCTCCTGACTTCTCCTCCTTCAACATCTCTGTCAGAACTTATGCTAACTGCCATCTCAGTAGGCCACAAGTCACCCTCTACGTGCAAGTCAGGTACTGTGTATGTGTATATATGTGTGTGTATGCATATTGACTTTTTTATTATTAACAGCTCTCTGGAAATTCATGGGCTTAGTGTTTGCTTAAAGGGATATTCCGGCGAAGGCTAAAGCTAAAGCTAAGCTCAAACACACCATAACACGGAGTTGGACAACCCCTCTAGAGATGAATTTTGCAGACCGTTAGCTTCTCTATACCAAATTCAGCAACGACCACATGATAGCAATACACAGTGGTCTAAGGTGCCATAAACAAACCTCAACCAAAACGCCACTCTATAGCCACAAATAATGCTCAGAACAGCACCTAACTTCATCAACAGTACATATAGGGTCCCAGCCATAGTACTAGCCACCAAACATATTTTTAGCTTTGCCTAATTTCTTCAGAAAAGAGACTAAACACAACTCACCCACTCTCTTCCAGTGGCTGCTTGTTTGTAAGGAGATCTGACGAGTCGATCACCGAGTGCAGCTGAGTTCCGCAGTGTAAGGGGGAAAAAAATTTATGATCATTACTTCATGAGGATGCAATCATGCCAAGATGCTAAGGCAGTAGAACTACCACGTCTGCAGTGCACATACAAGATACACAAGAACTCTGATTGTATTTCCATGAAGTAATGATCGTAAATTCTCTTCCTTGAGCCGCGAAACTCCGCTGCACTCGGTTATCGACTCATCAGGGCTCCCCCACAAACAAGCAGCTGCTGGAGGAGAGTGGGTGAGTTGTGTTTAGTCTTTTTGCTAAAGAAATCAGGCACAGTTAAAAAGATGTTTGGTGGTTAGTACTATGGCTGGGACCCTCTATGTACTGTTGATGAAGTTAGGTGCTGTTCTGAGCATTATTTGTGGCTGTAGAGTGGCGTTTTGGTTGAGGTTTGCGCATGGAGACATAGACCGCTGTGTATTGCTATCGTGTGGTTGTTGCTGAAGTTGGTGGAACTAGAGAAGCAAATGGTCGGCAAAATTCATCTTTCAAGGGGGGGTCTAACCTGGTGCCATGGTGTGTTTGACCACACTGAAATATCCCTTTAAATTCAGTTACATCAGCAAACATTGGTATCGTGTAATGGTAAATCAAAAATGTCTTTTTTTTGGTAGAATTAAATAAAATTAAAAATCAAAAATAAAGATCATAAACTCACTAAAATGCTTATGGAGGTAGAACATGAAGTGAAAAGTAGACTTATTTGACTTTTCATTGTTGCACATCATGTTTAGATCTCCATGAAAATAACCCAAATTTTCAGAAGTGCTTGACTTTCTCTCTCTCTCTCTTTCTGTGTGTGTGTGTGCGTGCAGATACAACGGCCCAAGAGATGAGACAAACATGGTGATACTTGACATCAAACTCCCGTCAGGTTACTCTCCGGACGAGGCCTCTCTGCAGCTGGTAAGTTTCTCCACAGCTGTGCAGCATGAAAATGTTCTCACAGTTTTAAATATATATATATATACATATATATACATATATATATATGTATATATATGTATATATATATATAATCTTTGCTCTTGCAGTTGCAGAGGGTTGACCCTGTAAGGCGCGTGGAGGAAGAGAACGGCCACATCATCTTGTATTTAGACGAGGTAGGAAGTGCTGGGAGAGTGTTTGAAGACAGTGTTTATTATGTCTCAGCCAGTTTAAGATAAGTCATCAATACATATGAAATAGTTGCAAAATAGTTACGAGTTCAAGTTACTTCTGTCTACAAGTAACTCATTAGCCAAGTTAGATACATCTTCTGACCTGGATCGCTTTAGTCTGGAAAGTGGAAGAATCAATCCTGTATGCAGTGAAGATCAGAGAAGGCGTGGGACAAACGTTAAGGTTCTAAAAATGTCAGCTGTAAAACTAACATCGTCTACACAAACTGAACAAACCCCTTTTTTTAATTCTACATGTTCATTCTGATGTGACACAGTTTAACATGATGTATGTGCTCAGTAAGGGCTGACATTAATGATCAGGTTGGTTGGAACTGAAGATCCTAGATGAATTAAAAAAGGCCAAAATCTGCTCTTCTTGTTTGATGTACTCCCTTGTATTGTGGCATCAGTATTTTTCTGATTAGCTCTCTCACAGCAGCAGACTTGATTGCTCGTACAGCTAGCCTGTCTTCAGTGTAGTACCTTACAGTCAGACTGTTTGGTCCTGCCTCACTGACAGAGCTGGAGGAGATTTTTTGAATTCTGAGGCCTTGTTTTAACTGAGCTTTTTGTTTTTATTTGTTTTTATTTATGTGTGCTGACTTTCTGTGCTTTATTACTATTTGTCAAAGCACTTTGTAAACCACTGTTTTTAAAAGTGCTATAAAATTCTTCTTCTTCTTCTTCTTCTTCTTCTTCTTCTTCTTATTATTATTATTTTTAGCATGTTTAAATGCCAAAGTGACCCTCCTTTGACCAAATTATTTATTTATTCCCATCTGTTTTTACCTTTTATGAGAATTGTTGGTATGTCGGTAGTTAGGAAAATACCAAACATAAGCCACACATACTGCCAGGTTTCTGTCTGAACACAAACCCAGATCATTTTTTGGTTTAAGACAAACAGGTAGTCTATTTTCCACATCCTTACACCACCCACATATTATAATATGGAGTATATTGCTGAGATGGGGAGATTTAGGGACGCTGATGCTTTAAACCAGTCAGAATATTCCCCCCTGCATGAGCAGATGGATAAAATTCTTCTGTTTTATATTGCAGCTGAAGCAGGGGGTGTCAAAGACTTTCGTTTTGATACTGGAGCAGGAAGAGTTTATCAGTAAACTGAAACCAGCTGTGGTCAGAGTCTACGATTATTACCAGACAAGTAAGTGACTGTTTGTTCTTCTGATGCTGTTTCCCTCATTTTTGTGATGTTTCATTCAGAGAAAAAGAAAAGAGCTTTTGAAAGAGACAAAGGGTACCAGAACTGTGTGTGTGTGTATATGGGGCTCCTGTTGTACATTTACAAGTCATAGTTTATGAGCTTTTACAAGCTGTAACACATTTTTAAAAGGCAGTAAAACTTGATGATACCACATCTTTGTATCTTCTGTGTTTTCGTCTTCAGGTGATGAGGCAGTCACTGACTACATCTCCCCTTGTGCGAGTATGTCACAACCTAACTTTCTGTATTTTTCAAATAAGATCTTTCCTATAGCCTTTATTTAGCTTTTACATCCTACATACAAATGAATCCCAGAGTAATTTACTCACCAAGTAGATAAAGTCTTGAGTTTTAGAGTTATAATATATAATGCAAAAAAAAATAAAAAATACTATTCATTTCAGTCTCCCATCTCTGTTGCAGCAAATGTTGGATCAACTATTAAGTTATTTAATATCTGAATGCCTTTCCTCTCTAGATCAGGAATAAAAGAGGAATTAAATCCGGCAGAAAAGTCTGATGGACCTTCTTTCAGCAGAAAGAATCACAAGATTCTTCATCACTGAAATACACTCTGCATGCATGTAAACTTCTTCATCACTCTTTTTCTTATTTTCTCTTCTTTGGGTTGTTTTGCTCCTCTCTCTGTTTTAGTGCAGCTTGGGACTCACCTGCACCTTTCTTGGACATGGGTGCGTGATGTCCTCAGCATCCAGAAGGGATTCCCTCTGGGTGCTGAACCAGACCGACCACCTTTCCCTCTGTGTTCTCTTCCTTTTCTGACCCCTCAAAGTGTTCGAACCTTTGGTTAACAAAGGCTCATAAACTTCCTCTCATTTGTGGGTTTCTAGCTAATAAACTGCATTTTTGCAACACAACGTCAGTGTTTAAGTTGCTTCCTTTATCGCCAGATTCACACTGCACTGTTATCCTCCCACATATGACAAGATAAGGCTGGGCAAACTGAGGCTGACTCCATTATTTGAGACTCATTTTATAGTGCAGATGACAGTCCTCCTCCTGGTATGTTTTTCACATGTGCCAGTACAAAGTGAACCAGGGCGTCTCTAACCACAGTCTCTTGGTTAAACAGCACTGTACATTCATTGAGATGCATTCAACAGTGTTTTCACCAATTCCCTTCAAGAGCCTACTGTACCTGCGGAAAGGGGTGTTACTATTTACACAGCAGATTTCAGAGATCAGGCTCACAGACCACTGTTAACATTTAGTTATGCTGCCTGAGCTAGTCCAGGCATGCAACTAGAGCTGCTCTGACCTAACAGTTAACATTTGTGATTCTTACAGACGCCAAAAGTATGGGTCGTCCTAATTTGGCCACTATTGACCTATTAAGCTGTAAGATTCCTGGACCTTCTATCATTGCCAAGATAGGAGATAGAGGAGATGGTGTCCTTGTCTTTTGGCTTCCCTGGATCAGATCATGCCAAAAGCAGAAGCATTTAGTATTTATCTCAGACATAAACAATTTGCATAAAAGACTCAATTTCACTGTAAAAACAGACATTTTATTTTTAAGAGCACCTCTATGTGCCACTGTCCGTCTAGGCTCAGGTTGTGAACTCCTCTGCTTATCTTATCTCATTACAACGCCTTCCAGGTAGTAGGAAAGCACAGTACCACTGACTTTAGATTGCAGGTTTTTGCTTCTCTCTGTGTCCTCAAGAGAGCAATGCACCACTTTTGTCTCCTTTGACGTAACATGGGTGCAAGTTCACTCAGCATTAACAAAACTGGGGCACAGGACTTTAAAGTAATGAAACAATAGCATTTTCTCTCCATACCTATACTTTACATGTCAGACTGAAACAAGCCCAACATCTTTAACTTTCACTTTCAAAGTAAACATCATTAAAACTTGGTAATGCTATGTCTAATGTCTCACAATAAAACGTGCAGAGCTCAAGAAAAGCAGCCCACATCCTGTAACAGTCATCTTTTTAATAGATTTGACTAAACCATATTATTCATACGTGAAAGTAACACATGAGACACACAAGGTACCAATTACACAGTATGGTCCGAGTATTGATTGTGATTGTGTTTGTGTGTGTGTGTGAGAGAGATTCGGGATCTACTTTCTATAAAAACAAAGTGTCATGAGAGCTGGGTGAGTTACTCTGTGTGTGCGTGTGTTTGTGTGGGCAGATATGTGTGTTCTGCTGTACCAGTAAAAAAAAAGGTTGATACATCTCTACCATACAATTTGTAAATGACAATAAAATTTCTAAACATGACAAAAAAAAAAAAGTAAAAATTGTACTTCTTTCCATACAATACTGTCATTTCAATAATAATATTTTTTCATTCAGACATCCTCTTTACAGTATACTTAGTTACCTTTCTTTTGAACATAGATAACAACAGTAATGTATACACCACCTACTATCAACAGACATGATTGAACAGCCTTGCCAGTGTTGAATAGTTTGGTTTGCACACTGTGCAGAGAAATTAAAGGCAAGGGGGACAGAATATATTAAGGTCTTTTCACTAGTTATCTTTTTTTTCTTTTTGTGAGAAGTAAACGTGTCACTACTTCAGGCACCACAACCATATATTATCATCATCACTGTACCGACGCATGAAACTAAACAACAGTTCCACATGCTCCAATTTTCACAGCGCAGTTTGTCCTCTGCTCCTACAAAATAAAATACAGAAACAGCGTCCTGCAGCTGTCACCTACAAACCCATCATTAGATTCACAAAGTGATAATGAGCAATACTTGACAATAAAGACATCAGGTGAGCCCGGCAGTCAGTTATAGTCTGTTAAAGCTGAAGATGTCCTGATCTGTTATCGAGCGTGCAGGCCCCAATGCACAGTGAGGGTTTCAACAGTGTCATTTAATCACTGATCTGGTGCTTCAATATGAAGTTAGTCAAAGCTGTTGGAAATCTGTGAAAATTATAAATAACTTTTTATGCAAAACAAGAAAAAAAGATTTTATGACTCAAATCATAAACAGGCAAATAAGATCCAACCTCTTCACTACTGAATGTACAAAATATCTCTCTTATTGCTCACTTTTTCTGTTTCTACTTGGTTTTGCTCTTGAACTTTGTTTTCTCAAAATAGTTAGGGTTTAAAAGTATCTCCAGAAATTTAAAAAATAAAATCAAATAAAATCAAATCTGTGCTGTAAAATATGAAATCGCAGTCACACCATTCATTTTTTTTTTTTCTATTGGGGGTGGAAATACTGAGTCGAGGCAGACCTTGATGCTGCATTCATGTGCTGTTGGGCATATGGGAAAAACAAAATCCCAGTTGGAAAATATCTGTAACAGCCTGCTGAAGTCGAAACAACATGAAAACATGGGCAAGAATTGGGTGCCTGACTCACCAATTTGTCACCATTATGGTGCGCCAATGAAATTTAGATTTTTTTTTAACTTCTCATTTATAATGAACTATCAGCTCAAGTATATTTTGTCCCCATAATGATGTGCCTTTTTTCACTTCTGGCAGGGTACCTGTCAGTTTTTTTTTCTCAAGCTTGCAGCAACAGAACGTGACAAAGTGTTTCAGTCTGAAAACTGTAAAAGACATAAGCAGCCAGGAAATTTCTGCCAATAAGCGTTCAACATCTTTAGGTATTAAATCAAATTAAAACTGTCATTAAAACGGACATGAGTCTATATCGCTCAGCCCGACTTCAAAGTCTCTGACACTGTAAAGATCCTCCAGAGCTCCTGGACTTTTCTGATAAAGCTTGACTTCATATTTTGCACATTCAGAGTTTAGAGAATTCAGTAATTGATCTAATTAAGCTGATCCTCACTGTGCTCAGGGCCTCCTGATCTCCACCTGTACTGATACCAAAGGCAGATGTCGCTTGAATGTGGAAAAACTTCATGCATATCAGTCCATATACTGCGTTACAGCTCACAAACACAAAAGAAATGCATTCATTCGATTGTAGCCTTCAAGTGAGGCTGTGCTGGACTCACGGACACGGCGTCAATAACAACACATAATCAAGGCACAGTTCTGAATTGCATTAGTCCGTTTTTTTTTTTTACTCCTGTGTGGTCCTGTGTGGTTGTGGTCTCTGTAGTGCCCTCTAGTGGAGATGCTATAGGCTGGCAGTGATGATGGCCGCTTTATCAAGTAAGCTAAAGGCTACTTGGCAAATAAGTGAGCTTTAGTTTGTTTTCATGTTAGCACATGTGCGGCTTGCCCCTGTGGTCACAGAAACAGTGCGATATTGTCCAACATATTCTCATCTATGAGGAGGATGTGGAAACTATGATTAGTCCAATAAATGGCTTTTTTATGACTTCTGACTGTTGGATGCCATCTATAGAGTTTCCAATTACTGTTGTTACAGATTGACTTAATTTTCATAACATAACAAATTTTTAAAATCTTTAAGAGCAGTCAGAGGTTTTGATGTATTCATCACTTCTTTAAATGCTGTCTGAGAATAAATGTGCTTATTCTGATATAAGTTAACAATTCTGGGTCTTACTTAGCGTTTTATTTACAACCTCGATTCCAAACAGGTTGAAGCGCTGTGTGAAACATTGGTAAAAACACCTTTTTGCAATTAGTTTAAACCTTATATATGACTGAAAACACTGCAAAGACAAAAAAGGTTGAAACTTTTGAAAGTTTTGTTATCACAGTAAAAGAGTCGGCTCACTGTATATTTGATCCCAGCAACACATCTCAAAAAAGTTAAGCTGGGGAGTGGGAAACACAGAAAAAGTTGTATAATGTTAAAATAAAGATCCAGAAGAACATCTCCCAACTGACTGGATTGAAATGCAACAGGTCAGTAACATGAGTGGATATAAAAGTGCCTGGGTCTCTTGGAAGGACAGAAATGTGTGACAGATTCAAAGAAGAGAAATGCTGGTAACTGATGCTGGAAGGTCATGATCTCACTGCACTGAAAACAGACATGACTCTGGGCTCAAATTATCTTCCCAAAACCACTGTAGATTAGATTAAAACTATATCATATAAAGAGGAAACTATATGACATCAGTGATTTCCCTGAGCCCAGGGGCAAAGTGAAAAATCATGGACCCTGCATGCGCCACTTTGAATAGGGAGGGACCACCTGGCTTGTTATCAACGCTCAGTTTAAAGCTAACCTCCCTGATGACATAACTGTCCATGACATGAGTGGCTAACACATCTTGGCAGGATCTGTTTGAGCTGAATAATATAAACAGGTTTTGGAGCAACATCTGCTGCCATCCAGATTAAAGTTTCTTTTAAAGGAAAGACTTTGAATATTACAACAAGACAATACTGAATTACATTCTGTACATATTACAACAGCATGTGTCTGAAGTAGCACCTGGCTGTTGAAGTGGCCTGTCTGCACTCCAGAAATACGACAAAAGAGACCCAAACTCTTCAGTAACTGTAATCCCATGTCAGGCAAGAACGGGAGGACATCTGACTTTAAAAACTCCAGAAACTGGTCTCCTGGGTTCCCAAACATTTACCAAGTGCTGTTAAAGGAAGAGCTGATGCAACACTGTGGTAAACATGTCTGTCCTGACCATTTTGAGTCATGTTGCTGGCATCAAATTTAAAGTGAGCATGTTTTTTTTTTCACAAGATGAGCAAACGTCACACTTTTAGTACTTGTCTTTGCACCGTTTTCAAGCAAATACAGAAACCTTCAAATTCTGCGTTTATAACCAATTTACACACTGTGCCAACTTTGTGGAAATTTGGGTTGTAGGTTTAAAAGAAATCATGTGGTAAATACTGCACAAAAGCATTAGTACTGTAATCAGTGCTTGCTTATCAAACCCTGCACTGGTCGAACCATAGTGAGAACTGCAGAGTGGACACCTGAGCTGTCGTGGGTCAAAGTCCTGACAAAACACCTACAAACACTTTGGTAAGCCTGTGTGTGTATGTGTGTGTGTGTGTGTTTGTTTCCATGTGGAGCGTGTAGCTTTAAGTACCTTACTGTGCTGTAAATGCTACACTGTGGTGAGTGTTGGTTTCAGGAGCAGCACGGTGGTGAGGTGGTTTGAGGACTCTGAGGATGGGTGAGGATGTTGTTCTGTGTTTCTCTGTTCAAAGACGAGCGTCCCAGTCCCTGTTCACTGACTTCTTGTTTCTCACAGACTCATACAACATGAATAAGATTCATTCAAATATATTTCTTAATGATTTCACCCCTCGACTGAAGACTCTTTAAAACTCTTTCTTGACTGAACTAATCAGGATGAAACACTCAAACAAAACATTGGCATTATGTCATTTGGCAATTTTCTCTAAAAGTAAAAAAAAAAAAAAAAGAGAGACAGAGAGAAAGAAAACAAATAATACAAAAGTTTCAATAAACAGTAACTACAAGATCTCCATTTGGCAATATAGAAAGGCTTTTTTTAAAGTCTTTGACTGGTATACATTTGGTTTATATACAGGTGTGTCTCCGTGTGTGTCCTCCGAGGGCTCCCTTTTTCAATCCTAACAGAATCAGGTAGAAAATGTGGAGGTGAAAATGTCTACAAATCAAAGAGTGAGCTTAAAAAGTAACAAAGAAGGCGTTGTGTCCGCTGTGGACAGGAAACAGGGAGTGGCCTGTAAAGTCTGTGGTAGGAGAGTCCCTGCCGAAACTGTCTGCCCATCACCTGTGCTGCACGTTTTTTTTAATTTTTTTTATCTCAGTTCATGAACTGCGTGTATCCCTCTGCTCCTGTGACGATCACATCCATCCAGATCCTCATGGCCTCCGCAGACGGAGCCACCATGTAGTAGAGCCGGTCGTGGGTTTTTACACAGAAGGTCAGGGCAGGGTTGGGGCTCTGAAGACCAAATAAAAGACAGGAAGAAAAATGAGTCAGGCTTTCATGTACAGCGAGAGACCTCCTGCTTTCTTTCTTTTAGACTTTTTCATGTTTATCGACAGTCTGTTAAAGCTCAAACATGGACTCTGAAAATTCTCTAATTCTTGACTAATTATGCATTAATTTGCACCGCTTTTCTTCTTCTTTGAACCACAATTCTCTTGTCTTTTAAGTACACAAGGCTGTACGGTTTTCTCTGTAACGTGGCATTGAAAGTGACAAGACAAATCAAAGCCGCGGAGTTGATCAGAGCCGAGCAGTTAAGAGTGTGACATGCTATCAAACACACGAACACACACACACACATTATGAGATGAGGTGGAAACAGTGGCTGGGCTTCATGTTGGAGATAAAAAGAAAAAAAATACTTGACATGGTGTGCTCAGATTCAGCGCCACTGCTCATTTAATAACAAAACATGACCAAAAGCTAAAACTACAGCAAGTTCAAGAAAGTGCTTTTTGAACAGAGAAGTGGAGAGGTCAAACCGAGGTCAAACTTTATCAGGCCTTGAAAAGATTGAAACAGACAAGAACATTTTGTGCTTTGTTGAATTCAACCACTCAGGCCTCTTTCACAAAAGGATTATGCAAGCTTTTGTACCTGCTAAACCTGTGCAAATGAACCAAAAAAGGACATTGTCTAACTCACAAAGCAAATGCACCACAGACTATGCTGCAGTGAAAGGGGCTTATCTGCGTGCCTCTGTTGTTTGCATACATTTCATAGCCAAGCTGCATTAATTTGGTGCAAAACAGACCCCTTTGTATGCAAATGAACCTCACAGCAAAAAAGATTCACAGTGCTCAAAGTCAGGCATAGCTGCAGTGAATTGAACTGTTGGCTGAGAGTTGGTGGAAATTGTACTGCAGGATTTATAAGTGTTGTCACATTAAAAAATTCACCTCTGGTTGATTAAAATATAATACAAAGTCTCTTATTGCCCAGACATTCTTATTAATAAACTGTATAATAACCAATTATAATAAAGCGATCTGGAGCCTCAGTGCCTACACTTACACGATTTGCAATTGCGCAGTGTTTTGTTTTTATTTTCTCAGAATAAGCTGCTGCTGACTTCTAGCTGGATATGAATAGTGACATTTGCTTCATATTTGTCATAAATCAACTCCACATTGATCGGGTAAGCGTCGCCTCCAATTCAGCTGATCACCTCTCTGTGCGCATATCTGAAAGCTGTCAGGATGAGAGCGCAACACAGCTCTGAGCAACAGAGAGTAGAGATGGCAACAGCTAATATCCTCAACAGGACACAAATAAGAGTAAACTGCACAGGCTGCAAAACTTTGTGAGTGTTTGGATATCATAACTTCAACACGGGGGGTGTAGTGGACCAGATAACAAAGTAAGGCTGATGATGCACAACTCTATCAGCAGTGAATCTGTTTGTTACACAAGTCACCTTGATCATTGTTTTGCTGATGTTTAGTCTCAGTATATGCTGGTCTTCATCTTTGTCAAAAGGCCTTCATTCATATTTTTTGTATGTTTTTAATGGTTGTAACATCGTAAACCCCCTACTCTGTACTTTCTGTTTTAATTTGGTGCCCCAGCAGGGAGAGTGGTTGAGAACAAGCATTGGCTAGAAACTTCTATGCATGGCATTTGACGAGTCTACTTTATGAAACAATGTTCGGTGCATTTGTCTCTGTTACATAAACAAGTAAATAAAAGTATAAATAAGTAAAAACCCTGAAAAATTCATGTGACTGTCAAAAATGATTGTATACCACAAAGTGTCACAATCTTTTTCTTATAATCAAACTTTTTCTGTGACAATAAAGCTTGCAGCTGTTTACAAAATAAACATATCAAATGATAATTATTTGACAATATTTGAGTATTTTCTTTATATTCAGGTGAATGAACTTTTAATGAGTGAAGCTGCATTAGTTTTAGGACATCTTTACGTTTTGTCATGACAACGGCACAAACCGTATTAAATACGTGTCTCTCACATTTGTAGAAATTACATGATAAAGTTTCCTCAATGCCACAGATGTAAACAAAGTTTATTTTGCTGCACATGCTGTGAGTTTTTTGTCCTAAATCTGAACAAATTGCACCTTCTTTCTCATCTTGCAGAAACTACTGCTTTTGGAGTCATATTTCCTGTTTTACTGCTTTTTTCCTGAGTGTTTTGCAGTGTGGGGTATTTCTTCTACTCATAAAAGCGTCTAATTATGCAGATTCTTGTTTTCTAACCCCTTGACTGGGTAACACTGGGAACACTGGGATAGACAGATGGATCAAACAGGATTAGACTGAAAAAAGGGTGCAAAAATCAAGCAGTCGGAGATCATTAAACACAAGTCTAGAGCATGCATGATCAGCCATCCAGCCTGTAACTATCATCTATCAGCACACACACACACACACACTCACACAGGATTTACAGGGGTGAGAACAGAAAGTGTGGATACATACACTGATATTCAAGTTGAAAAATCCCTTCTGTGACAGCAGCCGCCCAAGCAAAAAGCACAAACAAGGAGAAAAGAAGCAACAGAATGTGCAGGATGTTGGAAATAAAGGGTGAGAAGAAACCAAGTGTGAAATAAATGAGAGAAAATGATTGTTTAGAGTCACGGCGTACCTTTGTGGCACTGCGGAGGTGATCGTAATACACCTCTTCTATCGCCTGGAAGTAGATCACACCCTTCAGCTTGGTCTCATGTTTGTCTGTGGGGAGGAAAAAAAAACAACGTGGGTTTGGTCAAAGAACAAACTGACAACAGCTGACTTTTTTTTGGCTGGAGAAACGGAGCCTCATCACTTCCATGTCACCCAGAATAACGACAGGAAGACGCGGAGAGCAGCCATGAAAAAACGGAGGAATCAAACTTTGATCATGACCAATTTATAGTTTGTGATGATGGATGGAAAAAGACAAGCACAGCACTTTTCCTCACTGTTTTTAAAACCAATGGGGCTCTCATTGTATTTTCACTCTTGACTGCATTCTTACGCTACTCTTGTACATCATTGCAGTTTGTTTCATCAGCCTCTGCAGAACTGCAGTGGAGAACCGGTGGGGAACTCAACGCCCCTCTCTACCTCCAGGCACAAACACTCCACAAGCCAACTTAAAGAGTAGTAGGTAGAAACGCTGCGCTTCATTTCGAGGAATAACACTTTTCCTTTTAACACGCAGCTATTATCTGCTAATGAACTCTTTAGCATTCAAATAGCCCTGAATTTGCATCTCATTTCCCAGCATCTAAATCACCAGAACTGGTTGCAAATTAGCAGCGCTCATGCCTTCACGCCCGTCACCTCCACTTCCTCATTGTTTTAAGGTCAAAAGACAAGGGCAAACGATGCATCTCAATCAGCCTTCTCAGAGAGCGCAGCACAGAGCGCATTTTAACTACCGCCAGAGTAATCTCAGCGCACCTCCTCGCCCGGGCTCACTTTCAACAAGGTAATGCTTTAAGCAGCTTTAAGCAGAACCCTGTGAAGGACTTCAAAGGCCCTGACAGCGAACAAGTGTCCCAGAGCTCACAGCGCCGGAGCAAATTACACGACCGTGAACGCCTCGTACTGCATGTATCGCTGCTGCTGTTGCTGCCGCTCAATGTCAAAGTCCTGAGGACACATGTTCAGTCTGTCA